AGTTGAAGCTTTCATACACGTCCAATCGCAGGGCTGTTTACAAACGGAAAACGGAGAGACTGTTCGGGAGAGCTCGTGAAAACTCGACGATAAGGTACCTGACCGCCCCTAAAATTTTCTCAACGGATTTAGACGATTCACAAAAATGATCAATTTAAGAAATAAAACGGCGGATTTCCGCGGATCCGCGGAAAATTGCCATGTATGTATTAGGCCATTGATGGACAGCATTTGGATGACGTGAAGCTGCCATTAACGGGGCAAGGCGGGAAAGAGACTGAGCCCAGCCAAGAGTGGCGAAAATACTCAAGTAACTCATGCCCTCTTCTCCCCGAATGGTTTAAACTGTGCCATGTTACAAAATGATGGCTAAGGACTACTATTGTCGAAATGAAGCTCCTCAACTCACCACCATGAACACAAAAAAAGTGAATAATGGAGGGTAGGGGGGGAAAAAATATTGGAAATAGGCCAATGCGTGAATGCTAAACCACAAATATGTGGCGAGTCAAAGTATTTCAGATCTGAACGTTAACACTACACTCGCATACGATTTATACACATCTACATTTGGAAGCGGCCTGATTCCTATTTGAATTAATTCTTTTTTTTTTTTTTAATACACACATCTAATTACCGGAGGACACCATATCCATTATTTCCCACTGAAAAGAATTGAGTGCATTGTGTTTAACCTTTGAGGTTCCACTGTTTGGTGCCCTTCTTCTATTCAGGACATGGAAGAGTTTGTGCAGAGCTCGGGCGATGACGGCGTTGTGGTCTTCACTCTGGGATCCATGGTCAAGAACGTCAGCCATGAGAAAGCCAACATGATTGCCTCAGGTCTTGCTCAGATCCCCCAAAAGGTTGGACTTATCTTGAAAATGTACACCTGCATGATAAGAACAAGAATATTCAATTATCTGGATAGACTTTTTTTAAATGACAATAATGTCTTGCATTTTTTTTTTGTGGAGCTCAAGTAACAGCTCGTGGACGGAACAACTGATTTAACTGAACAAACTTGAGATCAAGTGCTTTAAAACGATTGTTTTTAGGTGCTTTGGCGGTATACCGGAGAAAAACCAGATACTTTGGGCCCCAACACAAGACTATACGACTGGATCCCTCAGAATGACCTACTGGGTTAGTACCCGCCATTTTTTACGTGCCTCCTCAGGCAAAGAGTTGGAACTCAGCCCAACACCCATCCAGGTCATCCCAAGACGCGAGCCTTCATCACTCACGGCGGCACCAACGGCATTTATGAGGCCATCTACCACGGGGTACCCATGGTAGGCATTCCAATGTTCGCCGACCAGCCCGACAACATGGTGCGGATGAAGGCCAAGGGCGCCGCTGTAACCGTGGACTTCAACTTCATGTCGTCCGAGGACCTCAGCAACGCCATCAAGACCGTCATTGAGGACAAGTCGTAAGGGTTTTTTACATCCCTGAGGTTTTTACTGTTTACGTTTAACATATATTAATTGTTTTTACGCTTGTATGACAATTAATGTATGTATTGTTGTTCATGATATTACAAATGATTGCTGTTGCGTATCAGAAAATGGATGGATGTATATCTATATACATGTATGGGCTGGAAGGCACTCCAGAGACCAAAACATTTGGACAGAAGCCATTAAAAAGTCACTTTGCCATCATACTTGTATTTTGCCCCCAGGTACAAGGAGAACGCCATGCGTCTGTCAGTCATCCACCACGACCGACCCAAGAGTGCCCTGGATGAGGCCGTGTTCTGGATCGAGTTCACCATGAGACATAAGGGCACCAAGCACCTCAGGGTCCAATCCCACGAGCTCACCTGGTACCAGTACCACTGCCTGGACGTGGCCGGGTTCCTGCTTGCCGTGGTCCTGCTGTCAACGTTCCTCTTCGTTAAGATGTGCAGGTGTTGCCTGCGTAGATGCTGCGGCCGGAACAGGAAGACAAAGAAGAAGGCGGAGTAATGGAAACAAGTTGTGTTCGTGCTATGACTTTGTACATTTTATATGCACAACAAACATTAGATATAGGTGGAGTAAGGCAAACCGATGCAAGCGCTGTCAAAAAAGTGACAAATACTACAAACTGCAGGGTGGGTGTATGCCGCAGTGATATATAAATACCAGTCCTTTGAATTTAAAAGTTGTGAACCATTACTCACTCAAACCTTCGCTTTGTTGAGCGTCAAAATTTGTGGTTTACGCATGCTTTGAAACAGATGGTGGCAAAGGACAGATGTACCTAATGTTGTGGTGAAGTGATCAACGTGTGGACCAAATAGAAATGAATTGTAACACAAACTTCAAAATGATTAAAATCAAAATACGCCTACCTGAGATGCAGAATGGCTAACCAATCACAAGTCTCACAGGCGTGGCCATGTGCATTTCCACCACCTGAGCTCATTAAAGGTTGGCAGCTCATTGGCTGACTCATAATGACAACAAAAAACGTTGTTTGTTTGTTTTTTTACTTAGTCAATTATATCACAATAACAAACCACCCCCACCCACTTCAGTCATGTCTTAACCCATAGTTAAGTGCATTTACATCAGTGTATAAACACAAACAATATCAAAATTAACAAAAAGTTCAGCAGCATGACTCAATAATGCAACATGCTACGTAACGGTTTTTCTTTTTTCAAACTATGTGCAATTTGTGGGTGGGTTTGATGTGTTTTTGCCATCATTTCTTTTCATTTTGCCATCTTTGCCCTTCAGCAACATGAGCTCCATGCAGGCAGCGGCATCTTCTGCCGTGTCGTGGCCACACACTGGGAGGAAAGGGGGGAAAGGGGGGGGGGGTGTTTTAGACTGACACAGGATCCCATTTTGTCACCAATCTCACTCTACACACCAAACGGCTCATTTATTAAAAATGAGATAATGGGCTACGGATTATCCAAGAGAGACCCACCGCTCTCTTGGATGATCCTGGTCAGGTGTTCTGCTGTGAGGCTGCTGAGGCTCAGTCTGTGAGGGGGGCCCAGGCGGTGGGGGAAGACCGCTGCCGTGTCCACCACCGTGCCGTGGAGCAACTACAAGTGGGAGAGAGAAACAGACCGTCCTGTAGCGTCCATCACTGGTGGCGGCGGCGATGACAGCAGCAATTCATATTCACAAAAACTTAATGCTATTTAGTTTCCGGGTGAAATGTCAGGATGAACCTAAAATGCAATATGACCTTTACATTACAAGTGAACCCTCTTAGACTTTTATATGCACATCCAACATTTCTGTATTTTTGGTACAACTTGCTGTTCTCGAATAAGGAGCTGCATGGCAAAATTGACAACACATGCATTCACATTTTCAAGAACGTCCACTTCCATGCCTTTCTGTGACTCCTCCGGTATCTCTGTTGCAGCCTGCTGATGGTACCGTGACACCATCAGCCTCTCAATAGTGAGGAAATGTTAAATCTTGGTCTGATGACGCCAAAACGTGAAATGCATGACAAAGAGTACTATTTAAAACCCAAATTTCATGGAAGCAGGAAATTGTGTGGGGCATTCCTGGCTGATTTTTGTCACACAGCTCCTTGTTAGATAACAGCAACACAGTCCAAATTGTACTAAAAAAGTGAACAAAGCCAAATATCACCAACGTTTTGAGACCAGTGTGTGATGAGAATGAATGTAAATGATTTCGGGCCTCATTTGCTGCCTCTACTACCAAAGGAGATTCCTCAAAGGACAAGCTAGTGGTGGCTTACAATAGCAAATACTGTCCAATGTTTACTTTGGGTGCAGGGCAGGGTGTAAAATGGAGGCCAATAGGCTAAATAGTGGGTCTGATAAGACTGTCCTGACTAATTGGTGGCATTAAAAAATGACCTAATTCATTCCCACTACCTTCATAATCAGACTCAATTGTGACTTCGATAAAAACAATCCTAATAGAGGAGGTACGCTTTGTCATTATTGTCTTGATTTCCTCCACTGCTAACACAGTTTAGTCTGCATTTGACCAATATAACCAAGTTATAAAATGACTTGTCTAACATTTTTGGCAAGCACTTGAGAACGGGATGACAAAAGTCCATAGGATTGGGAGAAGCTGGAATGATTATCCTTGTCAAAGTTCTTGTAACAAAAACCAGCAGATACTGGACATCCTCCCTTTTCACACCCCCCGGGGCATCATCATCATCCCCACATTCCTCACTTGAGGAGATTAATTGGATGGTAGCACTGGGTGGACACACGTCCTAAGAGGCGAACGTGGCTTGGTTTAGCACACGTTTCCTTCTCATCTTTGGCAACACTGGAGAGAAATCACAACAGTTATTAATCATCACAGACCATATTTCCTCAAATAATGGCAGTTGCTGACCATTGGCAGGGGCAGAAGGTGCTGGTGGGGAGAGCCCTCTCTGGCCCCATCTAGTGCCTCCAATTTGATTTGCAAGAATCCAAAGAAAAAGGACCAGATCATTTTTCCTGCTTGCAGGCACAGACCCACGGCTTCAACATGAGCCAAGGCTGCTACATTGGTAGCATGGCTTGTTCTTAATAGTGTTACCATAACACTAATGTGAGAAGTTTGAAACTTTTTTTTTTTATGTAGGCCAACGATGGAGGCCGCGGGAAGTGTGCCTGGGAGTGCACGAGAAATACTTGCCACCTCGTCAGTCATGCATTCTGTCTCCGCTGAGCTGTCCCCCCCAACTGCGAAGGTTTCTTGCAAACCCAATTTAAGGCACAACATGGGGTGGCAAAAAAAAAAAAAAAAAAAAAAAAAAAACAAACAACAAAAAAAAAAAAAAAAAAAAAAAAAAAAAAAAATTTCAAAAAAAAAAAAAAATAGCTTCTGTTGACGTTTCGTTCACGCATCCTGAGAAAGTTAACACTGCCATTTCAAAGCAAGTGGATGAAAATCTCAGTCTCTGAGGTGGATTTGTCACACCACTTTTGCCGTACTTTTGCCCCCCCACCCCAAAAAAAAGGCAAAAAGTATATGACACAAAACCTATTTTTCACAGCCACTGTCGATGCCCATATCTAACATAAAAATACGTCTGAAATATAAACCCCGACGCAAACCACATTCAAACTTTTTAATTTCACTTGCCTTTTAGCTTTGTTGAAGACCGACCGAAGGTAGCTTGCTCGTAGCTTGTCTCCTGCCTGAAAGAGAAAAAGTAAACAGACTTCTTCAAAGTTAAGCTCAGGTGATCGGAGTAAGCATGGAGAGCATTTTCTCACTTGTTTTCTCTCTTTTTCTTTTTACTGTCCTTGGTTAGCACCACCTAGGGTGTAGTTGGCAAAAAAAAAAAAAAAAAAAAAAAAATGCTCAAGCAGCACAAGAAGAACAATTAATCCGATTTCAATTGGTTTTCAGAAAAAAAGATATTCCTGCAAATGTTCATCTCTCAACAACATACAGTTACAAGCAGGACAATTAAATGCTCTTCCATAAAAAAATAAAATAATATTGTCAGAGTGTCACCTTGAGGGCGCAGAAATCTGTCTCGAGGCCATGGCCAATCAGAATGGTGTCAGCACTGATGAAGCTCAATAAGGTCTTCTGCACCTCTGCCAGAGACACGTGGTTGGCCTTCACGTCCTCCTCATTGATGCCCGAAAACCTGCACAAGGTGCCACGTCAACAGGCTCCTGGAGCTTTTTCCATTATGAGCTCGTTACCTGGTGTTGTAGTCGATGACCTCATCGTGTGGCTTGACAAATGCGTCGTATACCACTTGGAGGCTCGAGTCCACCACTGTCACTCGCGACAGCTCCAAACCGTGAATAGTGTAACACTGACAACACAAAGGGATTTTGAACTGCTGACATGTTTTTTTTCTTTCAAGCTGCTCAGAGATTCACATGAGCGTGATGCTATTTCATCTGCTATAATCGGGTAGTAATGGGGTGCAAGTTCTACCATGAGGAATTGACATCCTTGCTAAAAATGAATAATTACATAAACATGCATCTATTTGGCAAATTTATGAATACGGAACATTGAAGCATACTCCGAGAAAACATCTAGTCGCGGTACATAAAGTACAGTATTTAGTTCTTCACTATGATTTTAAAAAATGCTTTGCCTTTTTCATACTTGAGTAAAGAATTGACGTGAACAAAGTCACCATTTCACAGTCCAACGCGTAGACTCCGGGGCAGCTGCTATCTGCAGGACGTCTGGGGATGGTTGATACAAATCCATCCATGGTAAGGGAATCGTGCACATGCAACTGTAGAAGATGAGCAGATTAAGAGAGAGATTCATAAAAGTGGGCCACCAAGTCTTGTGTCAACCTGGGTCTCACCTTAAAAATTTGGCAACCGGGTGCTCCCATGACTCCCTGACAGCAGCTGTAGCGAGTCTCCACCCCGCCTGGCACTGTGGTGGGTACACACAGCAACAAGAGACTTTATAAAGGGTGCGCAAACTTCATGCATCAATAGGACCCTTTACAGGATAGAACATCTTCCAAGGAACTAATCATAAGTCGAATACTACAAAACCGTGGACCCCTAAATGCCATAGGAACTTAAAAGTGGACTATATGAGAGGAACGTAGCAGTGTCCCGATAATGGATTCTTATTTGTTTTAGAGAAAAAATAAGTTAAAAGAAAAATAAGTTGTATTTTTTTACAAGGATGCATTGTCATGATAAAAAGTCGGGCTCTTGTGAGAATAGTCACATTTTTCCAAGGGCAAGTGGTAGTAATATGAGACCTAAAGGCAAAGTTGAATGAGCAAAGTAAATCCAATTCTATCAAGTGAATCACCTTCTATTCTGCAGAATATTCCTTTACTCTCTTCAAAATGTACCATTATATTGTAAAAAAAAAAAAAAAAAATGTATCTTTTGTTTTCCAATTTTTAAATTCCATTTTTTCAACAATAAAATGTCCAACGCGTAGACTCCGGGGCAGCTGCTATCTGCAGGACGTCTGGGGATGGTTGATACAAATCCATCCATGGTAAGGGAATCGTGCACATGCAACTGTAGAAGATGAGCAGATTAAGAGAGAGATTCATAAAAGTGGGCCACCAAGTCTTGTGTCAACCTGGGTCTCACCTTAAAAATTTGGCAACCGGGTGCTCCCATGACTCCCTGACAGCAGCTGTAGCGAGTCTCCACCCCGCCTGGCACTGTGGTGGGTACACACAGCAACAAGAGACTTTATAAAGGGTGCGCAAACTTCATGCATCAATAGGACCCTTTACAGGATAGAACATCTTCCAAGGAACTAATCATAAGTCGAATACTACAAAACCGTGGACCCCTAAATGCCATAGGAACTTAAAAGTGGACTATATGAGAGGAACGTAGCAGTGTCCCGATAATGGATTCTTATTTGTTTTAGAGAAAAAATAAGTTAAAAGAAAAATAAGTTGTATTTTTTTACAAGGATGCATTGTCATGATAAAAAGTCGGGCTCTTGTGAGAATAGTCACATTTTTCCAAGGGCAAGTGGTAGTAATATGAGACCTAAAGGCAAAGTTGAATGAGCAAAGTAAATCCAATTCTATCAAGTGAATCACCTTCTATTCTGCAGAATATTCCTTTACTCTCTTCAAAATGTACCATTATATTGTAAAAAAAAAAAAAAAAAAAGTGTATCTTTTGTTTTCCAATTTTTAAATTCCATTCTTTCAACAATAAAATTCCCATTTTCAAATGAAAAAAACGTTTTAATATGAGCATAGCTGCATTTTTAAGGGGAAAAAAAGAAAGCTGTAAACTTGATTTAATGTTTGTTTAATTGTCCGTCAGTCTCCATGTGCAAGTGACGCATCTCGACAAATACGACATGATAATTTATTGAGCCGACCAAGTTATGATTCGCAGAGCCCAGTTTGACAACCATATTACTCGTGTACCTCTGTTCTCCACTCCTTTCCCATAGTGATAGTTGCACTCTTCCGTTCGGGTGTGCTTGCCCGCTTTGTTCACAGAGTATGTGGCTCCGCACCGACAGCAAATCCTCTTCAGGGCTATTCGGAGACAAGCAGTCACGAAGTGCAATGCAGCTAAAGTGCGCCCTCTGGTGACGACAACAGTCAGTACATGTCTGGGAGCTTACGGTCGTTGCCGCCCTTCTTATTGTTGGCGAAAAGGACAGCGCAGCCGGGTTTCTCAGGGTGGTGGACAGGATAGTTACTCTCAATCAGCTGCTCCTCACTTAGAACGTAATCCCTTAAAATCTCATACAAAGAAGCGTCATCTGCATGGGAAAGAAGAATTTACTGTACTACAGCAGTAGTGGGAAATAATTTGCAGCATAGCGTGACATTCACCATTTCCTTTGAGCTGCTTCCGGTTTAGTGGAATATTTCCTTTAGGATTTTTCCCATTGGCTTTCTCATCTAAGTCAGAGGGGAAAAAAAAGGCAATCAAGAAAGGCAATCTTGACGGTTTATGAAAACACTTGCAGGTGTTCCTCACCACTGCAAGTGACAGAATTCTGCTTTTTTAATCTCTTCAGCGCATTCACAGCAATGCTAAGATACTTCAGCTTGTTGACACTGCGATTGTACACAGTTTTCTCCTCAGCTAGGGCCTGTCGACCATAACGGGACAAACGACTATCATGCTGGGCACTTTGTCATGGAGTGTCAACATTCCAAGCAAGAGACAGGATCACCTTTTTGAAGGCCTCGTCGATATCGGCGGACGTATCGAGGAACGCCTCCGTGAACTGGGTGACGTAGCGCTGTCGGATGTCATGGGGCACTTTCTCTTTGGTAGCCTCGCTCTGCTGCTTTGCTTTTCGTTTGGTGGCTCCTGGCTTTTCACAGCAAAATAAAATTGACGTTTTCAGTGGCGACGTTTCAACTGCGCTTTCCCATTCATACTTCTGGAGGCACCTAAAGCGCACAAACTGTGTATAGTGGTCCCTAAAAGTGCAGATGTCAGTTTTTAAATAGAGGAAGTAACAGTTAAAAAACCAAAAAAAAAAAAAAGTAAATACCCAATTAACAGATACCTGAAAAATGTAAAGTACAGGTACAATGTACCGGTATTTGTATTCCGTTACTTCCCAACAGCGCATACCTTCATAGCGGCTTGGCTGGGCGTTTTACTGGTGGCGGTTGGAACAGACACCGCAGAGTAGGACTGGGAGGGTCTTCGTGCGGCGGCAGGAATGAGCAGAGGCGCAGTGGAGCGATACGTCTGCGCTGGGACGCTCAGCGTTTTGCCAGTGATAGGGCCCAGGCACACTTGAGTGATGGGGGTAAGGACTGGGGTTACCTCGCTGGAGGTGGAGTTGGGAGGCAGTGTGCCCGGAGGGAGGATCAGGCGCATGTTGTTGTCCACGTTGAGGACGGCGGAGCCCATAGGTATGTATTTGACGCACACTGTGACGAGATAGAAGGTGACATTCGGTCTGGAACTGTACATTTAGTCAGATTTTTTTTCTGTGATATTTTACATTTGAAAAAACTCTTTTTTTTTTTACTTCAAGTGCAAGAGTCATTTTATGCCCGCAGATTCTGTGGGTAGCAAATATCGCATTTTTTGTTTGTTGTTTTTACATAGTACAATCATTGACAGCAATTTTTCTTGTGAACAAAAATTAATTTGGGATGTCGTCTATTTTGACAAGCATAGGTTCTTTGCACTATAAAGCATCGTAACCATGGGTGAATGTTATAGTGACCTTTCTGTTGATGAGCAGGCGAAGTGTTGACAGTCGCTGCAGGAGGAGTTGAAGGATGAGGCACTGAAAGAGGAGCAGGCATGGGCTTCCTTTGCCCAACGGACGAAAGGAACGCTTGGCCTCCTTTCAGGGCAGCTGTCAAAATGGCCGCCTTCTGCTGGACCTGCTGAATCTTGGGCACACCGCCAACAAGCTGAGAGGCTGGGGATGCTTTCACTGGTCCTCGTAATGGAACCAGCACCTGAACCTGCGGCCTCCTTTTCACTGCTGCAACCTGTCAAATCGACAAATGACTTCATCTTAAGTACAAATATGGGGCCCGGGCCCTGTTACGTTTGGTGAAAGACAAGTGGAGACGGGGGTGGTTGACAATTGCCTGTATTGAAAGTTTGAACAGGGACCTGACCGATATATTTTTTTTCGGCGGGGCTGATCCAGATAATTGGCAATGTAAATCTGGTAACCGAATAACATTTTACAAAGTATATAATTAATAAAATACTATAACTTTTTTTTGGGCCTCGATGCTTGTCACAAAGACATTGATAATACGCAAATTAATTGCATGTTTGACTGTTTTACAATACTTTGTTGATTAGTGTTTAAATTTAGAGAGCAGAGAAAAAATTTTTTGATTTTTTGGGGGGGAATTTATGCCATTCATTATCCTATGCTGAAATGTGTTGAAAACAAGTATTTGATGAGGTTTAAAGAACCAATATATGCAGGCTAAATCAGATGGCTGGCAGTATCTAGTGGAACAACCATTCTCACACAGTGACGCCTCAATTGCACAGGTGTGCCGATAATTGCCACAAATAAAAGAGCCACTTAAAAATAAGAAGTTTTACTGTGCAGTGTACAATAAACGGCACATTTAGATTGTCCTTTTGTTGTAAGCAACATAAAGGCACACCTGTAGAATTGTGCTGTCTAATCAGTACCTGACTGAAAAGGATGGATTATTTTGGACAAAAAATACACGTTCAGATACCCTAAGTGCAAATGCCAAGAAACCCAGTCTAAACTCCTACATGACACACAAAGCTTCTCACTCCATAGAAATGCATCACATACTTGCTTGATCCCACTACCTTCCCCATTTAGACAGAGCTTTGCACAAAACATGAATAGGTGAGCATGTATACTGTAAAACCTCTGCATCTTTGGATTCATGTGCGATCCTCCTCTTCGCTGGCAGTTCTTGCGGTTTGATGGCTGGAATGTCAGGTTGGTTGGGTTTCTCCACATCCTTCGGTTCCATCTTGCAGCAGCAACAACAACAACAGGATTTAGTATTGCTCCTGAGTTGGAGATTTTATTGTGGAAGGCAGCTACTTTAACATCTATTGGGGTTAACAGTCATAATGGTCCTCCGAAGGAAACCAGATCTATGTTGTAGCCTGCAACACCCATGCTCTCTGAATGGTCAGAATTTGCCCCTCAAGTGTGAAATGGTGCTTAATTCTTCCCGAAATAAGACGAGAAATACTGTACTGATGAGTCCAACTTGTTTTGTGAAGAAACTGTCAAGCGAAACACGAAATTTGCTGACAATATACTGGCCGAAACTAAGCAGAACAACCTATGTTGTCAAAACACGCCCAATAAAATGTGAATTTAAACCAGGACTAATTTCTGCATTTATCGGCAAGCTAAACAGTGAAAATAACTGCAAATGTGAATATTTTTTTTAAAAGTAAGCACTTTGCTCTTTTCAAGTAATTTGGAAGCAAACCTACAGGCGCCTCTGGCTGCTCCTGATCACCGCCACCTTCCTGGTTGTTTGCCTCCATGAAGATGCGGTAACACTCCGCCACAGGGTCGCTGTCAGACAGCTCCACATCCATCTCTTCTTCATCTTCGTCTGAGCTGGAATTGATGATGATGACCGTATCACTGGCTGCTTTCAAAGAAAAACTCTCTTTGGGAGATGAGAGGATTTCTATTGAAAGCTGGCTGCTGCCCGGGGAGGCCTCTGCTGACTCCTGGTGGCTGTTTGGTATAGTACAGATTGATTCCTGACGTTCTTCTGTCTTCTTGGGTAGCTGGCACTCTGCGGTGTGCCGCTTCGTCTCCAAGCACTTTGGAACCTTGACGCAAACCGTCTCGTTGTCCTCGTCCGAAATGTGATCTGGTTCAACTTCAGTGGACTGAAAACAACTAACTTTGTGATTGGGACTCTTGCTGGTGAAGTCTTCCACACACTCAATCAGCTCAACCACACTTGAAGCTGATGCTTTGCGATCTTTGTTCCGGGAATTCTGCAGGGCAGAGGATGCTAAACATAAGAGTATTTAAGAGCTTTTAAGTAAATGTGTAAAACAACATACTTAAAGATGAAGTCTATTTAAGAATAACCCAGGTGTTTATTTAAAAAAGGGGCCTGTCCTATTCGGTAGTGGAAGATGAAACAAAACAATCCAAGATAATGTTCAGAAATTAAGTTGAACCATTTTACTTGAGTTTGAAGGTATTTTTAACCCGATTTTTTTAGGCGATACCATTCACAAACATTCCTCAAAAAAACATGCGCGCAAAGCTGAATTTTTCCAGAAGGCTTTATCAGGCTTTTCAAAATTCTTGTTCCCTTGTACTCAGGTTAAAGCGTTTTATCCAACCAGACTTCGCATTTTGACATTTTTTTTATTCTTTTGGGAACTCCTGTCACATTGCTACTAATACTGAGTGTATGTAGGTACTGTAGGTCGGGTAGGTATCTGAAAAAAAAAATGGTCTGCAATAATGGTACCAACCTCCTGCACTGGCGTGCTGACAGTATCAAGATCACAGTGAGCTTGAGCCAACTTCCTGTTAGGTGAGTCTGGTATGTCAATTATCAGGACGTCATCATCGTAGGCGTCATCTTGTATCTCAGAGGATGGAGAGCAATACGGCGCCACGTGATGGCTGACTGGCTTTTTTAAATCAACTTGGTGCACCTCTTTCCCTTTCAGCGCCAGACTAGACGACTTGTATGACCTGAATTCGGCAGTGAAGTTGGACATGGGATCGTATTCCAAGTCGGTCCTTGGCTTGGAATTGTCAAGCACGTACTTCCTCGATTGGGTGGGTGCTTTGATCCTATTGGGGCGTATATACCAACAGCCATTTGTATGTTCACCTTCTACTGCACGGTAGCATGACAGCTTCCTCTGCTCCTTCTCTACTTCATACTTAGCTGTTTCGATCTTCTTGTTGATGTGTTCCAGCTCTTGGAAGGACTTATCTTTGGCATAGTCTACAACTTGTGGCGTACACAAGGTGGACTGAATGCCATCTTGGGCACCTGCAGCATCGCAATCAGAGACGGAAAACATAATCACACTGTTCAGTACAACTACAGATCCTTTGGTTGAAAACAAAAGTAGTTAAAAAAAGATAACAGGTTTGTGAGCAGGGCTCTTCAATGGGTGTGTTTAAATAGGAGTTTTTTGAAGATAAAGAAAATTATAAGGTTTGGTTGAACATTTTTGTTTCAATCTCCGTCTTTTGTTTTGTGTGCAGTTTTACAATAACAGCTTCACCCCATAGTCTTTTGTGACATTTTTTTAAATCGTTAAGTTGCGAAAACATTACCAATTAACTTTTAAGTAATTACAATTCCCGAAACCAAACAAATTTCGTCTTGAGAAATATCAACACTTCAGCGAAACCCAACCCAACCTTGATAACCACTTCAATTACTCAACTCCCGTTTCTTCTCCAGCAAGTTCTAAAATCTAAATTTTAAAATTAAACGGCCAACTGTTTTTCTTATTTTTATGCGTTTTTAATCCCCGCGTCGATTAGAAACAAAATGGCGTCTCGAGCTAAAATGAACGCGCTCTCGCTGCTCACCTGTTAGTTCTATAGGCGGTAATGACCACCATGACGACGACGGCGAGGAGTAACCTAACAAACGTCCCCCGTCCTCAGGATGTTTGTACCAGCAATGGGGGCGTTTGCAGCAGCGCCTGGGGAAAGGACAGGGCACCCGGGCGAAGAGGCCAGACGACTGGAACATCGCTGCTCGACCCGACCACTCGGCCGGGTGGTTGTGGATCACACTGTCAAAGGCCCGGTTGCCGCCCAATCTGATTTATATGGAAGTCGAGACGCGTTGGGCGTCGATTTAAAATGTTTTTAAAGTTAATATGGTGTTATTAAAAAGCTTTCCTGTCGGTGTATTTTGCGTCCTGGCACACTGTTTCAATTTTATCACCATCAAGTGTCAGGTAATTTTTTTCAATTGCTTTGTAGCAAAGTCATCCTGGCGAAAGATGGCGCTGTTTTTCAGCGCGCCATTGGTGTCTTTCTTTGTGGTATTTCACTTTCTCCTGCTATCAGTGAGTAAAAACATCGACCTCTATTTTCAACTTTTACACAGACAATTCACAATTTTGCAATGGAAAGCAGCGAGGACGAGATGGAAGTGGATGACACCGAATGGAAGCAACATTTGACGGATTCGCACCTAACCTGTCGAGTTTCTGGTAACGTCACAACAACGAAAACTACAGTAGTTTCCATACAAACGTGCTTAAAGTGTCTCTGATATTTTCTGTCAGTTTCAGGACCGAGCCTCAGTAAGAGGCCAACACCTGCACACAGAGTCATTTTGCATTTTGACCTGGATTGCTTCTATGCCCAGGTGGAAATGATCCGAAACCCAGCATTGAGAGACGTTCCTCTCGGTAACCCCAAAATGACTCGATTAAAAAAATGTGGTGAAGACGCTGCGCTTATGTAAATTAATCGAAATACAGAAGGGGTTGCTCTCTGACACATTTTGGGAACTAGGCAGTTCACAAAAGATTTTTTAATTTTTTTTTGTGGGTAATTTTACATTTCTCAAACAAGCACTCCAGAGGTGCATTTTAAACAAAAGGTCCCCTTACTATGTTTGTGATCCCATCAGGTATCCAGCAGAAGTACATCGTAGTCACGTGCAACTATGTGGCGAGGCAGCAGGGTGTCACTAAGCTCATGTCAGTCACCGACGCCAAACAGAAATGTCCTCAGCTAGTGCTGGTGAAAGGAGAAGACCTGACGCACTACAGAGTAATGTCTTATCAAGTGACAGGTAGGCCGCACAGCCACAGCACTTGGATGATATCGGAGCTCAGTGTGCAGTGCATAACTTCATTAGGTTGTTTGTATCATTACTTGAGATGAATTTATAAGCCCTTTCTATATCAGTGCCTGTTAATGTTTCTCTTCTTGCTTTTCCCATTTCTTTGCCTTCATACAAGACCTGCTGCTGTCCTTCTGTCCATTAGTAGAGAGGCTTGGCTTTGACGAGAACTTTGTGGACATCACAGAGATAATACAAAAACGGCTGACATGCACACCAGTGTCCTCTTTTAAAGGCTACGTTTACAGCACTTCAAGTAAACCCCAGAACAACTTGCGAAACTACGTCCAGTAACGAATGTGTATCTGTAGTTCACTATTTACATATTTCCCTTTTTTTCTGCAATATGATGGTTTTTGATGCACAGCAGAGGCCGCAGAGATTAAAGCCAGCTTTCACCCAGAGTTGGCCTTAGGGTCGCACGTCGCCGCAGAGCTGAGGGAAGCCATTCGCGATCGACTGGGCCTCACCAGCTGTGCTGGTGTCGCCACCAGCAAGCTTTTGGCCAAGTTGGTGTCGGGAACCTTTAAGCCCAACCAGCAAACCACACTGCTGCCAGAAAATGTCGATCATATCATGGGCAGCCTCGGCGGCCTCCGTAAAATACCAGGTATGTATTGTTAGTAAAAAAAAATCCATTAGGCACAACACATCAGATTTAAAAATTGTCATTTAAGTTTGTGACCACTGTTTGTCAATGTCACTTCAGGGGTTGGACACCAAACAGCCAAAAGGCTCCAAGCACTGGGATTGGTCAGCGTCAGCGACCTGCAGCTCTTCCCTCTGACTGCGTTGATCAGAGAGTTGGGTTCTCCGTGCGCGGCGCATCTAAAAAATTTGTCCCTCGGCGTGGATGACTCTCCCGTCAACCCCACGGGTGCGCCGCAGGTAATGGCGTAAAGTGTCATTCGTGTGTACCATCGATGTTAATGGCCTGATTTTAGTCTCTCAGTGATGAAGACTCCTTCAAGAAAATGTCATGCGTGAAAGAAGTGATGGACAAGATTCAGCAGCTCCTGGGCAGCCTGGTGGAGAGGTCAGAGTCATTTCCTGTTACGATGATGGCGTGATGCAACTACAGTAGATATAAAAAGTCTACGCCCCCCTGTTCAAATGCCAGGTTTTTGCGGAAAAAAAATGAGACCCATATCAATCTTTTAAAAGTTTTTCCACCATTAAACAGAACGGTACCAACCTGTGCCTGTGTTGTGTGTCCCAAGAAAAAAGCACTACCTATCGTGAAATGGGGAGGAGGCTTAGTTATGGTCTAGGACTGCTTTGCTACATTCGGCACAAGGCGTGCAGTGTGCAATGAAGTCACAAGACTGTGAAGGCATTTCATGAGTTTGCTTTTCAAATTTGTTGGACAAAATAACAAAAAAGTAGTACTGGTACCTTCATTTCATGTTCTTTCCAGACAAAAACTTGGTGACACATGAAACTTGTAACTTACTATTTGTGTGAAATACAGGATGCGCAAAGACGGCAGGCAGCCGCAAACCTTCCGCCTCTCAGTTCGTAAATACTCGGCGAGCAACAAGTGGTGCAGTCGGGAGAGCCGCCAGTGTCCCATCCCCAACCACGTCGGACACAAGATAACCTCAGGTAACAAGGTTCAACTTGTCAGTCACACCAAAGTGTTCATGACACAAAAACCCTTCTTCAAACTTCTGCAACACACAGCAAATATGGACAACTGGCTCCTAAAACGAAAACCTTATTATTGTTTGTGAAGGAAATAGCTTACCCAATGAATCCGAGTCATACAGGAAATGTGGCTCTATGGACAATTTGGTGCTGGTCCAATTTGCCTTGGCAGAGGTCATTGCTTTATTCATTTCCGGCAATATCCATCTTAGCCAGCAGCGACGATGCCTCCGCCCAGCTGCTCTCCTTGGCCATGAAGCTCTTCTCCAAAATGGTGGACACGGCGGCTCCGTTCCACCTCACCCTCATCAACGTGTGTTTCAGCAACCTGCAGAGCCGAGCGCCGGCCGCCAGCACCAGAGGCTCCATCACTTCCTTCTTCGCACCCAGCGCCTGCCCCCAGAACCCAAGTCAAAGCCCGGTAGCACACTCAAATGTAAGTTACTGCCTTGCTGTTGCCGCCTTACGGCTACTTCTACGAAGTTAAAAAAATATTTTGTGGTGATTGCGGGACTAGAGGGCTTGAGTTACAATCCCTAAAAAGGAATTACAAACACTGGTGTGAGCAATACACCCCCCCCCCCCCAAAAAAAAAAATTTAATGAATCAAAATCAGATGTTTCAGAGAACTGCTAAATAATAATAAGGGCTTTCATTTATATAACACCTTTTTTGTACCACTCTTTTTTTTTCCCTTTTCATTACTGGAAAAAGTGTGAATGGTTGCTTGTCTATTTGTGCCCTGGCAACCCGTTCAGGTTGTACACACATCTTGCCCAATGACAGGCTCCAGCGTATCTGCGACCCGAGTGACAATAAGTGGTACAGAAGATGGATGGCTGTAAAAAAGGAAAATAATTCACCGGGAACATTTGAAAAACATGAAAATGACATTTCCATCTCTCAATGTGAATTCTTTGTAGATTGACTCCTCTACGAGTGTAAATGGTGCAGAAGATCGTTTGTGCTCACTCAGTGTGATGAGTCCACTCCCGCCGGAGAACGCCGCAAAGAGCCCGATCGTCCGTGACGCGGCATCGCCCAAGGCCGGACCCACACAGAGCACTTCTTCTGTCCCAGCGGATGCATCCCGGCCGGTGACGGCGTCCCGCAGTAGCACATGCTCAGACGGTGGTGACGCCGACATCACCGCGACGTATCGATTACCCCCAAATGTGGACCCCCAGGTGTTTTCCCAGTTGCCGGCCAACCTTCAAACGGAACTGATAAGAGAGTGGGAGCAACGCAGGCCAATTCCGAAGATCCCCATCCTTTCCAGGAAGCCCGGGAGAGAAGCCAAAGACAAGAAAGGCACCAGAAGGAGAAGTCAGGCCAATAGTTTGTTGGATTATTTTAAACCCGCTTAAAGAAGATGCAAATGCTGTATCCTGAAAAGGGACTAAGGCCTGTCACGAAAACCTGCACAGAATCGCTGCCACCCATCACCCCCAAAAGTTTTGAACATGCATATAGATGCCAGCAGATGGCCACAAAGCACTTTTTGTGTAAATAAAGCTCCTCAACTTACCTCAAATGAGTTCCTTGTCACTATAATGTCACAGGAAAAACACTCCTTTTGTCTAAATGAAGCTCCTCATCTGACTACAACATAGTTCCCTGAAACCAAGATGCCACAAGGTAGTGGCATCGCACTCCTCCTGTCCAAATGAAGCACTTTGGCTAACTTCAACGTAGCTCCTTGGCACCGAGATGACAGCAAAGCACTGTTTTTTTTTCCAGATGAAAATGTGCAACTAACTCCAAGATGACACGCGATGGCCCGATCATAGAAACAGGTGATCGTTTTTGAGCAAATTAACAGAGAATATGTTCCACACAAAACCAGTAAAAGGACACGAGGCTCTTGATTAAGGTGCAGAAACTTGCACTTTTTTTTTTACCCTATAGCCAGCTCTTTGGCACTTTTCTTTCTTCATTTCTGTGTATTATTTAATTTACTTTAGTTGTGGCAACAACACCGCCGTTAAGTCAAGTTCAATGTGTCTTAGGTACTTTTATGAGTCAGCTTCGGTTCACGTGATGCATTCTGACCCAAATTCCTGACAATGTCAAATTCTTGGGCATCAACAGACAAGTCATTTGTTCTGTTAGCACTGAGTCTCATGCTCCCTTTAAGTTTTTGCCATTTTGCACGACTTATCAGATACTATTTTTTAAGAAATTTAAAAAAAATACCGGTAGTACTGTTGGATTAATTACCGGTAATGCTTCTTTTTGGAATTCCTTTTTTATAGAATATATGGAAGAAGCAAGAAAATGGGTGTAATTTTCATTTCCCCATTAGAAATCATGAAATGTTTCTTCTACGGGGTCCAAATGCCTTCATCGTTATACGTTAATAATAGCTTTGTTGACATTATTAACTGTTATAAAGTCAAATAAATTAAAACGGCTTACCTTGTAAGTCACCTGACAGTTACTATCTGCTGAGTAAAATTAATTTCTGTCATTCATATTGAATGAATTGGATAGTTTCATGTTGTACTGAGCAGCCAGGGTGATTATTGCGGTAAGTTCCAGTTCCTCTTTTATGGTTCTCATCTCACTTTTGTGCTCTCAGGTTCAGTTGTCTTCTTTTTTTGTTTTTTAATCCCCTTCCAGAAGAAAATACGAGTGCAACACAAGTTGCTCCACCCTCAAATCACATGTAAATGAGGTTTGAGGACTACGGAATGACTGCGGAATGAGCGTCAAGGCTGCGTGCCGGATGGACGCAGGAGCTGCTTCCAGACTTGCTGGTGAGACGTTTATTTCCTTTGCCTCGCATTAGTTAGAAATTATGACTGTGATGAAAAGATGAAATGGAAGTCTTACGGACAACCTCATTAGTGCAGGTTTGCATCTGAGTCCGGCGTGTTTGTTTTGTGCCCTTTTCTAGTGAATACAGAGCAGCAGTCAATTGCACAGTTGATGACACGCAAACGCAAATTTTGTAATACAAAGCTGTGGGTGTGGGCAGTACGGTGTCATTTGCTGATTTTCCTCATTGGTTTCTAATCACAAATTAATTCTGTCACCCTTTTGATTTTTTTTTGTTGTGTGTGATTTATTAACCTAAAAAAAATCCTCATCTGGAATTTTGTTTGAAGCTATGTTCATACTGCAATTCCATTTTTTTTCCCAATGTGACATTTATCAGATTTGCTTTCACATGCATGTGAACAGGAAAACTCCCATTAAAAAAAAAAAAATTCTATCTTTTTTCCTCATTGGTTTCTAATCACAAATTAATTCTGCCACCCTTGTGATTTTTTTGTTGTGTGTGTGATTTATTCACCTAAAAAAATCCTTATCTGGAATTTTGTTTAAAGCTATGTTCAGACTGCAATTCCAATTTATTTTTCCCCAATGTGACAAAAAATAATAATAATAATAAATTCTATCTTATGTAGATGTGAATTGGATCAGTACCCGATGCAACTCCACTCTCAACGCTCAGGTCGCACTCATTCAACATTTACTGTATGTCAGCAAAAGTCGACCCAGTCGTTCGAGAAACAAGACGGGTGTGACAAGCAATGGTGGTCAGAAGAGCAGAAAACAGTCAGTGGTGTGAAGATGATGCTGAAGAACTGCAAAATATATTTGGAGACCAGTCAGTTAAAACACCAAATCCGTGAATTTGACACAAATGCGTCTGAACTATGATTGGGGCTCATCTCAACTCAACAAAGTTGCGAAGGGTAACACTGTTGGGTGCAGTCCTTCTCAAATAGTGGAATAGGAACTCCTGGGGGGTCGAATTGCACATCTACTCTAGTTAGTAGCTGTGGCTGAGAGACTTAAATTTTGTTTTTATTCAGCGGCACGGTGCTTGACTGTTGGGACATCCACCTCACAGTATGGAGGTCGAGGGTTCGATTCCGGGCTCCGGCCTTCTTGTGTAGAGTTTGCCCGTTCTCCCCGTGCCTGCGTGGGTTTTTTCCGGGTACTCCGGTTTCCTCCCGCATTCGAAAAACATGCATGGCAGGCTGATTGAACACTCTAAATTGTCCCGAGGTGTGAATGTGACCATGGATGGTTGTTCGTCTCTGTGTGTCTCTGTTAAAAACCTTTTGACAAATACTGTATAAACCTCTCCCGATATCTGTATATTCGTATTATATTATTTATTTTGCTGAAACGATGTGCCAGTATGATATGCCTTTCTTTCATGACATTTTATTCTCACTTTCGCGTTATGAAATGGAACTTTCTGCTGCTGCTGCTTATTGGCTACGGTTCCTTGCTTTAGAAAAGGCCATCTTTCATCATCGGGCTATCCTCTCCATAAAGGCTATAGAGCACAACAAAACGTTGCTCTGTTGATTTCGCCTTGTGGGCCTCTCAGCCAAATTTGATTGGCCACGCCGCGTTCGTGGGCCCACTAGGAAGTATCAAGGAGCAGTCCATAAAAGGGGTTCCTGTCTACCAAAACAGCAGAAGCAGTGACCCCCTTGACTGCTCATGCGGAGCTCAGGCCGAGTCATGTGTTCGTCCCGCTCTGACCACAGCATTAAGACGCTGCGTTAAGCCCACTTCAAAACCCCCCTGCCATCCCCGCCCACCCATTTCTTTTTCCACATGGCAGGCTGAGCGGCACCATGGCCGAGTGGGACTATGACTATCTCATCAAGCTGCTGGCACTCGGCGACTCCGGGGTGGGCAAGACCACCTTCCTGTACAGGTATACGGACAACAAGTTCAACCGCAAGTTCACCACCACAGTGGGCATCGACTTCCGGGAAAAACGGCTGGTGAGTGACGTGGTCTCCGCCACGTGTGTTCATTTCACACTCAGACATTGTGTCATGTATAAACAGTCGTTCATTATTTTTACCCTTTTTCCTGCATTAAGTTTTTAACAAACATCTATTCTTGTCCTTCGTCTAAAATATCAATTTTTTAAAAATTCTTTTTATCTTCCAACCCCGGAATCCCACATCAGATGTACACTGGGACTAATTCCGATGGGGCAACAGAGAAGAACTTCAAAGTCCACCTTCAACTCTGGGACACAGCGGGACAAGAGAGGTTCATATTACTCCAGAATATCAAACTTCATCTCATTGTAATCCCTATTGGGAGGAGATTAAATGCAATAAATTGGTGAAAAATACAGATTTACAGTCTGCTAAAACGGTTGTTTTTTTTTTAAATATAAACAAAAATTCAGGGACAGTTCTTGGAAAAAAAAAATAAATCAATTAAATAAAAATGTTCAAGCATTCAATTGCCGGTAAATCTTGACTTCAGTTCATTAAATTGCAAATAATGCATAGCATACATCATAATTACAACAAATTGAATTTATATTTTAAAAAATACATTCAATTTAATTTTGATTTTGAACCATTAAAAATAATACATCAAATCCACATTCAATGTAATAAATGAAAAAGAATGCATAAAATATGTCCCACTTAATTTTAGATTACATTTGATAAATTCCAAATTTGACCAAAAATAATATTGAACACTTGCTGTACATTGAAATAAAAATTCCATATAGAATTGCATTTAATTTATTAAAAGTAGATTTAAAATATCATACCTAATTCCATTCAACAAATTAGAAATAAATGCAAACTTCAAAATTAAAAGTGGAAAATGCCAAAATTAAACAATTACATTTAAAATTTTGAAATAAATAATCCATCGAATATATAAATATTGAATAAATGTGACTAAATGTCAAAAAAGAGGTACAATAATTACTCAAACTAAAAAATTTATTTTTAGGTTTCGCAGCCTCACGACAGCCTTCTTCCGAGATGCCATGGGCTTCTTGCTCATGTTTGACCTGACCAATCACCAAAGCTTCCTCAATGTCAGGAACTGGATGAGTATGTGCCATTTTTTTTTCCCACCGCTTGCTAGAAACCTGCGCGCTGAATTCAGAAACAACAAGCTGCCTCAACAGGCTGCGGAGCGACATCAAGCACGTTTAGTGTTCCCTTCCATATTTGATGTGTAAGTATTTCTCGCACCTGCGGGCTGTTGCTGACGAACGCCGCTCTCCTCAGGCCAACTCCAGGCCAACGCGTACTGCGAGAGTCCCGATGTGGTCCTGGTGGGCACCAAAGCCGATCTCCGGAGCATCAGAGACGTCAACGCCAGGCAGGCTCGAGATCTGGCCGACAGATATGGGTGAGTACTGTAAATAGACTTTAGTTTTAATTGATAAAAATCCCTTTTCCCCCCGCCCCCAGCATCCCCTATTTTGAGACCAGCGCCGTGACGGGCATGGGCGTGGACAAAGCGATACAGACCCTGCTGGACATGGTGATGAAACGGATGGAGCAGAGTGCACCTTTGGCCGAGCACAATGGCGGCGGTAGTGCAGCAGGGGCAATGCAGGAGGTTGCCCTCTGGAGGAGATGCGCTTGCTGACATCATGCCCGACGTCACGGGACACTTTATTAGGTACATGTCATCCAATGAGAGAAAGTCCAAGGGCAGGAATAAGGCTGATGGATGGCGCGGGTGTACGTAATGAAGTTACAGTTTATTTTTTACCATAACATTTCAGTTAAATAATAAAAAAAATATATGAACATGAATTTGTCATCACGCATCTGTTTTCTGTAGTTCTTGTACTCATTAGGGTGGAATATTGAAGCCTAACCCAGTTTTGACAAGTAGGACTATTACCTTAATATCCTACAAGAGCTATTGCTAGTATTTTGGCTCTTTTCTTTGAAAAATGCATCCTTTTATTTGTTTGTTTTTTCTTGTGATATTTACATGAAATGACAAAATAAAAAGCTGTTGTCCAATGCTAACTATTGAGCATAATGGTGACAAAAACAACTTATTGCTTTTAGCTAGCTAACTGTTTGAGTTGTAGCACAATCTCTGCTCCATCTACCATTGTTTGACTATTAGCTTCTTAGCTACCACAGTTCCTTTCCATTGTGCCTCAGACTAATAGGTTTTGGTTAGTTTAATATCAAGAGAACAGATGATCCTGAATTATTGTTAAGATTACAAAACAATGAAAGCATTACAAGCCCTAGCTAGCAATGTAGCATCATCGAGATTAAAAAAAAAAAAATCCCTCAATGCGACAGTTATTTTTGGATTTAGTTCAATGCGTGGATTCTTGCATAATCTCTCGCACCTATTGTTGAACAATTCGTTTTGTAGATACTGGCACAAGTTAGCATCATGGCTAAACCTGCAGCTTTTCTAAGTTAATATTCCATCCATCCATCCATTTTCCGATTCGCTTATATATTATAAGATAATGTTCTCTGGTAATATTTATGTTAGCCTGCTTTTTTGTTAAATGACAACAACAAAAAAAAAAGTTCTGTATGAGCTAACACTGGTTATCAGCTTGTGAGCATCTTGGATCATGCAGTTATCACAAAACTGTGATGTTGTTTTGCATATTTTACATATTTCTTAACAGAAAAGGTAAATTTAGGGAATGGTTCATTTAGAAGAAAAGAAAGTGGTTTTTTTTTTTTAATTCATATGGAGACATTGATGACATGACTGCAGGCACATGTTGATCATAGAGTATAAGACATTTATATATACACAAATGTTTTGGTCAAAACAACACTAGCAGACATTGATGACTTTGAAAATGTCATGTAATAATGAATCCCACAGAAGTTACAGGCAGGGTACGCCCCATCTGCAATATGATTGTGGGATTCATATTCACGCATATTTGATAAGTGTCCCGAAGCCTCTGTGTAATCATGTCAGCCATGCAAACGCAGCAAAAATTACAAGAAAAAAAAAACGGTGTCAATAAAGTTGTTTCTGTGTTAATTATGCACAGACACCAGGCAGATTGGATTATTCCACACACAATAATTCACGCTTATTTCTGGTTTCCAATCGTCAGAGATTCTGTTATCGTGAACAAACATTCGTATATAGTCTAAAAATGTCAAGAATGTCTTTGAGAGAAATTTTCAAAAATGGTACTCATTAGATGGAGGACCTTCTCCAACCCACAACAATCGAAAACACTCCCCGGTTTGGCCTTGACACAAACACACTAATGACATACATGAACATTTCCTCAAAGAATGGCCAGGGGGTGTTTGATTGATTCTCCTTGCGTTTATTTAAGAGGAGGCCTTTTCTATCCATGCCTGACATAATATAAGAAATCTGTGAATAAAATATTTGTTTTCAATGCCGAAACTTAATGAAATTGCATAAGAGAGCAAAAGAAAACATCTTGCGCTTTCAGGCCTTTTGTTTTTTTTTTTTTTTGTTCTTCAAGTTTGGCATGTATGAGCTAATCTAAGATTATTTCCCTCAAACACATTCTTTTCGGCATACATTCCTAATGCGCTGACACCCAGACGTTCGGGCTCAGCATCTCGTACCCGTGACAGCAATTACGTGGAGTAATAAAACAAATAGGCTCTCCTCTGAAAAGACAAGAACCACTTTTGTTTGGGAAAGGAGTCCAAGCAACAACAACCAAAACATTTTTTTTTAAATCAATCTGAGTGTGCTCACGACATTCAGTCACATGTCACACAGTCATGAGACTCTCGTTCATGTGCCTTGCAGCTTTTCTTTAACACCACTGATGACTTGCTTGGGTGGTCCGACTTCTGACAGGATGGGCATTATCATGCAAGTGACTTGTTGAGGTGACCCCTGACAGCAATAAACGTGTGTGTGAAAATTTGTATTATTTTTATAATCACTGGTAACCTGGTAATTCATTTCTTGGTCGCTCTATCTTATCAGTATGGGTAGATTTTACCCCCTGCCGGATCAAAATCTCGACCCAGTGTGTTGGATTACATCCTCAACCCAATGCGCCGGGGATAAATAACCCAGCGTTGGCATTGTCGCTTTTGGACCCGGCACTATGCAAGTGACTTGTTGAGGTGACCCCTGACAGCAAAAAATGTGTGTGTGAAAATTTTATTTTTATTTTTATAATCACTGGTAACCTGGTAATTCATTTCTTGGTCGCTCTATCTTATCAGTATGGGTAGATTTTACCCACTGCCGGATCAAAATCTCGACCCAGCGTGTTGGGTTACATCCTCAACTCAATGCACCGGGGATAAATAACCCAGCGTTGGCATCGTCGCTTTTGGACCCGGCGCCGGGTTAGCCGTTTCACCCAATTTGAGTTACTTTTAACCCAACAGTTTTAAGCGTGTCAAGCCCGCTATCAAGGATCTGGAAGACATGCTCACGTGGGTTTCTATCAGAGTTCCTTGTTATTATTCACTTTACAAAGTCACCGATGATATTCCGGAAAATCGCAGTTAACAAGACAAAGCAAAGTGCCCCCTTTAAAAGAAGGTTCCAGAAAAGGATTCTACAAGATTGTTCGTGTCTCTTGCATGCAACATGAGTTTTGAGCGGCGCATGCTCACACAACAAGATGTAGCAAGTTGTCTGCTGAATGACGCCAGGCAAGAAAATCTCTCGCAATAGTGTCGACGTTTTATGTGTATCGTGTCGTTGAAGGGTGCTGTGGTGTAAGTGAAATTCAAAACGGTTGTTAAATTAGTGTTTAAAATGTTGGCTTTTCTTAAGCTTTTAGCCAAGGCTAGCTCATGCTTCGTTCGTGGCTCAAATTCAGAAAGTCACAAAGTCTGAATTTATAAGAGAAAAAAAAAAAGGGAAAATTTGTAATTTCATTTGGAAAAAAAAGTCCAAATGTTATGAAAATACCAAATTGTAATTTTTGACAAAAAATTTTAATTTGTGTAATATGGATGAAAAACAAATTGTAAAAGTACAAAAATATTTTGCAGAAGGGGGAAAAAAAGGTCGGATTGTTCCAATGATGAATTTAAACTTTCATAAAGTAACCCGAATAAAATCATCACATCACAGCATTAATGTGGGATTTGGACCAGGAAAAGCAGTGTTAAGTGTGCAGGAAAAGTAAACAAAACGTGTAAAAAAACGCGGCTACGTAGTTAAAATCACAATTTTACACTTGCTAAATTACCTTTCGTTATATTTTACCGTCATCTCATCATCGCCACTTTATTCTACGACTTTAGAATTGCAGTATGATTTGCTTGAGTAATCTGGGGTTGATATGTTTTTTTTTCCTGCGCAATGAAATTTTGGTCATGCCATGACATCATTCCTTACGTTATCCACCATAGCTAAAGACGTCATATATTTTACAAATTGACACTAAAGTTGACAATAGTCAGTACTACAACCACATCTTGTTTGTAAATATATATATATGGACTGTATATACTATATATGATGTCTCTCACTTTGTGAATTTATGGCTTACCATTTGGAATGTCATTGATTGATCCAAAAAGTTTAGAATTGGCACACTTATTGTAAAAGCATCGTAAACAAGAGTAGCGCAGATTGTCTGACAACTCATCTTGTGGCCAAAGAGCGTCGCGCGCCTTTGCAGACGCGTCCAATGGGATTTCAAAATACTAATCAAACTCCTTCCCTGAGATTAGGCAGTGATTCAATTGGGTTTCTTTTTTTTTTTTTGGGGACTCCAACTTGGACTCCAGTGGAACCTCCAGAGTCCAACAGTTCGCCCATCGATTTTAAATACGAGCCAGTAGTCAGACGGGCGGAATCCAGAGGGCAGCTGACCTTGGACAGGTGGACGGAGTCTAGTCCTATTAATTTTCTTGGTGGTAAACGCAGGTTTTGTGAATGCTAAGGGGCGTCATAGAATTGCCGTTTTTTTTTTTTTGTTGGAGCGGAAAAATTCGAGGGTTGGGCTCTATTTTGTCTTTGTGGAGGTTCCACTGTGTTTGCCACTGCCAGCAGGCATGCCGAAGGAGCGCCATTGAGGCGTCTGACTGGAATACTTAACACCAAAATACTCAAACCGAGCGAGACGGACATGTGGAATGAGAGCACGGCATGTTGGATCAGGGCGCGGCATCATACGCAAACCCCCTCCCCGTGGCGGCTGCCCCCCCATCTACGTGCAATGCGTCAGGCTGAGCTTGGTGACGCCGTCGCGGTGCAGCCGGTAGAGCAGCTTGAACTCGCTGGGTAGCTGGTGGGTCTCCTGCCATTTTGTGGTGAACTTGGTGCCCTTCTTGTCGTAGTAGTGGTAGGGCAGGTCCTTGCCCGTGTTGGGGTCCCAGCCGAAGGGCCAGAAACCGTACAGGTGGATCTCATCACACATGGCCGACGCCAGCGTGTACATGAGAATGCCAGTACTCAGGCGCTTGGGGGAAAGGTTCTTTGTCTTCCAGTATCTGCCCAAGCGAACAGACAAAAGAGTTTTGTCAATACATGATGCAGTATTTTCCGTCATTTATTACCTTCTCACCAATCACCATGATAGGGATTTTTATATAGTGGACTGCGACTACTAGTTCACTCATCGTTAAAATGAAAAATAGTTTTGGAACACCACTCTGGCAATTTGTTATGACGTCATAATTAAAACGCATTGCATCAACGTCAGCTAGTAGACCTTCGGTTCCCGAGAGCACACTGAAGGCGATGACCTAAACTCACTACATATTTGAACAGCGCTACAGTCGCAGGTTTGAGTCCTGTAAACTACAGATTTTTTGCTTTGCAATTTTTCTGCGAATGCTAGCACTGTTTCATTATTCAGGAATCTCGCGCTTAGTTTATGGCAAGAGCAGTTTAGCGGATGGCATTGAAATCCAGAGGGGTATCACCATGTGGTTTTGAATCCTGCCGACAAGGGAATATTTTCCCGGAACTTTGGGGTAAATTATGTCTCAGTTAGCGGTAGCATTAATGCTAATGTTCTGATTGAAGTTATGAACAGAGGTTGTGGCAGACTTTAAAACCACTGCGGTGTCCCTACGTAACCCGTCCTTTTAGTGCTAGCATTTTTGCTAATGATAGAATGTAGAAACTTGTTAAAATGTTAATGTGGCCGAGAGGTTAAGGGATGTGATGTTAAATTTTTGGGGGGTCTAACTGTGCCGGTTCGAATCCAGACAACAATAGGTAACTTTTCTGTCTGATTTACTTTTGAAATTTGTGCGAATGTTAGCATCTGGGAGACATCTCACTGGTTGTTGTGGCCAGGTGGTTCAGTGGATGCACTATAAATCCATTGGATTTTTCATGCGTAGGTTGGAATCCTGCCAACAATGTAAGAAATTTCTTTCTTCCTCGGTTCATGCAGTTATGCTAACGGTAGCATCTCCAAACGTTATTACAATTGTTGGAGCCGACCAGTTAGGCCGATGGAGTTGAAACTGATTGCCGTCTTCTGGCATTAGTTTGAATCCAGATGAACTTTCCGGAATTTTGCATTATTCCTTATACTTTAGTTAGTGGTACAGTTATTTAACTTCCCCGATGTCTTCTACTTCCGTGCTCGCATATATGCTGATCTAGAAATCATTTCAGAGATTGATGCGGTCAAACGGTTAAGGGGATGGACTGGAAATACATTGAGAGCTCCCTATGCAGTGTCAAATCCTGCCAACAACATCGACTATTATCATAAAATTACATGACACATGTTTTTTTTCTTGATTTCCTGGGTTGGTGACAAAAAGGCAGATTCTGTTACAGCTCTGATACAACTTTCCAGTCTATCCACAATGAACCATCTTCCGGTCTTACTTGTTGACGTCGTGCATGATGTTTCCGGGCCAGGCCAGCTCCACCTTGAGCTGGCCCTTGTGCTCCACAAAGAAGTCCACCAGGGTACGCGTGACGGTAGCCGACGTATGCAAGAAGAAGGCCGGGATCCACAGGATGGCGCCCTCCAGCTTCTTCAGGTGCAGGAAGAAGTTGTTTCGGTCCTGGATGGTCAGCAGGTTGTTGTAGTACCTCTCCAGGATGCTGGGGTTGAAGGTGGTCAGGTTGGTCTTGCGACCCACGTCTTTGGCGTACACCTCGGTCGGGGCGAAGTTGCAGCGAAAGACGAAGTCGGCGCGGTCGATCTCGGAGCCGCAGTGGCTGCCCGTCAGGATGCCGCTGTTGCCCACCACGGCGCACGTGCCGTAGTGCTTGTCCAGGATGGGCGAGGCGTCGGGTAGCAGGGACTTGAAGTTGTTGCTGATGGAGAAGACGTACTTGTGGCTGGAGTAATCGAAGTGCATCAGCTGGCCCACGCGGACGCTGCTTTTGGTCAGAGAGAAGTTGTGCGGAATGTCGATGAAGTTGAAGATGTCCTTCCTGACACAAAAGTACAGAAAATTGAGTTTACTGGTCCTCTCCAGGGGAGCAGGTTATCTATTTACACTTTGCCTCCAAATGGGTAAAGAGTGAGGGCAATTCCTTTATTTGGGTGGGGGATAACCCCACAAATTTTAAAGCTCAGAAAAGATGGCCCAAGCAACTTAATAAAAACCAGAGTTATTTACGGCTCGGAAACAAGAAATGACAAAAGAAGATGGAAAATTGGAAGGCTATAATATTACTGCATCTTAGTGAGTCCGTTTCGCACCAGAAGGAGCAATACAATGTGCTTTGAAGTGATCTAAAAAAATGTGGAAAATAAAATAATTCTCTTGAAATATGTCATACGTTTTTATAAGGAACAATATTAAAAAGTCCTTTTTTTCTTTAATTAAAAACGTTTTGGTTTTAGGAGGAGGCCAGAACGGATTAATGATATTTCCATTAATTTCAATTGAGAAAGATGATTTGAAGTTACAAGCGTGGTGATGAAATGACTCACAATCGTATCTTCGGGCGTCACTCTTTATGTAACTACAACAAAATGACTCATGTTCATCTTTTATCACCAAACTCAAATGTTTTCACTCTGCAGCCAAAGTAAAGCCATCGGCCTCTCTTTTCTGATACTTTTGTATATGCTGGATGTATGTGCTTATCCCAAACGAGAGCAAATATCACTTCAAGGGGTATGCCTCCCAGAGAGGTCTAAAGCTGGAATGTCCGCTTGATTCTTCCAGTCTGAGAATTCTCTCACATCTTTCTCATTTCCTTCGACCTCAGCGAACAAGGCCGCATCAAATCGGCCCCCGCCAGACACAGAATGTCTTTATCTTACCTCTGCTGGAAGAAGGCAGTCTTGTTGAATTTCCACTTGGGCGGCTTCCCCTGTAGCTCCTCATTCAGGGCGTTGGTCAGCGGGATGAAAGAAGGGTCCAGGAAATTCATGGCGAACTGCGATCTGATGAGGACACACAAGTGGCATTGTGCTCCGAACACTTGGTGTGTAATTGTGTCTGTTCCATCCTCATCCGGCCTCTCTAAGACTACAGTAATGCGTTTGTAGTATAATGAGATCCAGTGCAAAGAGCTACATCCAAAAAAAAAAAAAAATGCCCAGAGCTCTTTCTAATCTTTTCATCCAAAGTATACTCCAAGTCCCATATGTGTTATATTAGATAAGTCAATTTTAAAATAAATTAATATCTGTCTCGCGATGGAAAATAACATCGAGTGATCCAAAGCAAACCACGCCATGTGCCTTCTCTATCTGTTGATGGAGCAATGGAAAGTAAGTACTCACGAACCAGAATATCTATAGCGTATCAGATCACGTGCCAGTTACATCGAACTTTCCACCAACCGTCTACGCAACAGCTCGGGATCCAAGGCATACCACATCAGACACCATCTATCTACTCATCTATGGGAAGTAACCGCTCATGATCCAAAGCATAACACATCACGTGTCTTCTATACAACCATCTGTCCATCTTTGGAATATAACAGGACATGATCCAAAGCATAACACATATCCATCGTTTACCGATCAAAAGTGACACCTAGGGTTTCTTGAAAAATTAAATAAAATGTATTATTATTATTATTATTACTTTGTAAACCAAAGCACACATCATCAACATCATGTGCTTTCTGCCTACCTACCTGTCAATAAAAAAATAAGGACTAATGTTCCAAAAGCAGACCACATCGATCGACCAATCAATCTATGGAAGCACACGTCATAACAAATACATACATCTCCCTATGAGTAACATTACGTACGCGTGGTGCCACCTGCACCCTGTTTGATTGACAAGCAGGCATAAGGCGAGCGTGACGCACGGCCACCCCCTTCCACCACCTGGCCGCACCTTTCCCCACGCGCAGCCCCGCTCATCACTCACCGGAAGCCCGCGTGGAACATGATCCGGGGCCCCCCGACGGGCGTCCCGAAGAGGCTGTCCTTCCGCAGGGACACGTAGCTGATGAGCGACAGGATGAGCACCGCCACGCACAGGATGATCAGACCCAGGGCGCGGGCCGCGCGGACCATCTTGGCGAGGAGAGCGGCCTCACTCACACTGCGGTCGTCGTCGTCGTCGTCGTCGTAATCCGGCCGAGTGTCCGCATCGCCGGCGCGGCTGCCGCTCCCGCTTCTTCTACAGCTGGTGGCGGCGGTTCATCGCCGGCCGCGGGTGCCATTTTGCGGATGCATGGTGAGGAGGATGGTGGTGGCAGGGATGGAGCTCGGTTGGTTGTCATCCCCGCTCGTACCGCCTTCCTCCTTCCTTCTCCTCCCGCGGGCTTCATCAAGGAGATGGAGCCCGAGTGCGCGCGCGCACACACGTACACTCACACGCACGCGCGCGCAGAAAAGCTTGTCCAATAACATCACGGGAGTGGGCGGCTTGGGCACATTAATTATGATTTATAGAGAGAATTTACCGCCCACGACAGTAAAAGAAAACAAACACGAAAAAAAATAAAAGCCTCCAAATATTTAACTCACAAATGCTCGTTGTGTTGAAGATCAAATTAAGACTCTCAAGAAGAAATGTCATATGTCAACTTTATTTGGGAATATTAAGATGACATTTCTCATGATGTACAATAATTTTGCACAAGCTATTAAAAATTAAAAACACTGTTTCAACTCTTAAGAGCGTGGTTCTCCAAGTGTGGTAAGCGAGTACAGTTTTTCATTCTCCTATATTTAAGTGCGGTGTTTAAACCACATATTGTTGCAGTGGCTAACAATAATAACTAAACTGCAATGGAATAAAATCTCGTTTTTCAAAGCAACATCTTTCATTTTTAGAACAATTTCATGTAAGTGTTCCTTTTGTGATACATTCAAATAAAACGTTTCTCCCCACCTTTTTCAGGTGTTTACTTTTTCAGTAAAATCGTCTTCGTAAACAGTACAAAAATAATAAAAGCCTTCATAACACAGCAGCATATTTGATATGGAATGTTCACATTAAAATGTCACAGTAAAACACAGTTTGCACATATCACTTGCATCATGCTGCTTTGCGCTTTAGCTAAGTACAGCAAATCTTTTTTTTTTTTCCTCAAAGGTGTCTGGCACGGACTCAAAGCCAACAAGCAGCTGCCAACATTTTTTTTTTTTTTTTTGCATGGATGAGATAGGTTCGCTAAGCGTGAAGCAAGTCAAAGTTTGCGTTGAAAGAAAGAGGTGGTTCCGAGTCACGAATCAGAGTCAGGGAAGAAGGACCCTTCACCGACACTGCCCAGAGAGCCGCACGGACTGTCTTCGCCGCTACTCACGTCCTCCTCACTGTCACAAAAACGCAAATACGTGAGTTTTTTGGGCAACGAGTTAGTCAACAGATCATGAATAAAAAAAAAATAAATAAAAAAAAACTGCCTCGTTGACCTTAGTCTGTGGTCGCAGGCGTCCTCGGGAATGGAGGGCAGACGGGGGGCGGCGCAGTGGGAGGTGTTCAGACTCTGCACCGTCCTACTGGACAAGACCCACACCAGCTTCCTGCCGTCGGGCTTGTGGCACCGAGCCGAGTGGTACTCCGTCATGCGCGTAGCCACAAGGTGCCGCCACTGCCGCAGATCGCTGTCGCCTACCTGTGGAAGAATCACAAAGGCACACACGGGTACAATATTGTCAGCTGCTATCCCGTAACACATAGGTGTCAAACTCAGGTCCTGGAGGGCCGCTGTCCTGCATGTTTTCCAAGTTTCCCTGTTGCCACACACCTGATTCAAATGATCATATCATCAGCAAGCTCTGCGGAAGCCTGACATTGAATCTGTTCATTAGAATCAGGTGTGCTGCAACAGGGAGACTTGGAAAACATGCAGGACAGCGGCCCTCCAGGACCTGAGTTTGACACCTATGACGTAACAGGTTTCACATGGGGGTTATTCTGAAAAATGGCAACTCAGAGGGGAAAAAAAGACCGCGACTAGACTTTTGTAGATAATTGTATCGGGGCAGGAAAAAACAAAAATCATCTGCGACATGTTAAATAATATCTAAACAATTTTGATTAAAAATTTGGCAAATATGCGAGTTCTTTTTAAGATGAAAACAGTAAAAATACTGAAAAAATTGAACAAATAAGAAGAAAAATAGAATCACAGAAATATTTCAATTGAAATCTGCGCATAGCTAAATCATCATATGCCAAACTGCGAGGATGTTTGGCTCCTCTATATGTAAAAAAATATACATATTTGGGTACTGTGTCATACCTTTGTAAGTCTTTGCATCTGCCGTAGCATCTTGGACGTGGCGGCGCACTGCAGGGTTTCGAACTCGTGGGTGACGAGGGCGAGGGCCAGCACGGACGACTGCGGGGAAGAAACCTGGGTCAGCGACACTCTCGTAAAGCCAGACTGAGTGGGAAAAGCCGTACTTTTGCTTTGGAGAAAACAAGTCGACACAAGCAGGCTTTCAGATGAGCTTCCAGCTTCACGATGCTTGGAATGTTTATCCTGAAGGAAAAAAAACAAAAAAAAAACAGCAATCGAAATGCAGTGCAATTGAGAGCAAGAAGAAGAGGCAGAGAAGGCCCCGAGCTAAACTCCATCATACTCATTCCCACGGAGCAAAATATAATTTTTATTTCAGTGTAATTTTACTGTAAAAATGTAAAGGTGAAATGTCTTTAGATGGTCTTTCTATATTGTTTGTGGGCGTGGCATCCGCAGTAAACGGTCGTTCGCTGTCCACCAGATGTGTGGCTGACGAAGTGCTTACCCCTCATCGCAGCACACGGCGCTCAAAGCCGAGTGGTAGAGTTGCAGAAAGGTGAAGGCGGTCACCGTGGGGCTCTCGGGGCGGAGCTTCTGGGCCACGACGGTCTCGGTGCGACGCAGATCCGACGCGGTGAACTTGGTGTGACTGATGCGGATGAGCTCCTGGCTGGGTGCCACGTCTTTGGCCGCCTCCGTGGCGCCGGCCGCCAAGTGGAGGCAGCACACGGACACGCGCGGCACGTTTTTGGGCTGAGCCTGTCACAATCCCCACCGAGGCGACAAGTCAGTCTCGGGATCACATGGCTAAACCGACGCGGCATTCCAGAAATTAGGTCATCGTGAAAAGTGAAATACAATGACGCCTTGAGACATGAGTGGCAGATTAGTATTCGGATTGTCGATTAATCGAGTAGTTCAAAATATAAATGATAAAAAAACAAATTTTTATATACTCTTTTTGTCCACTTAATGCTTACAAAAATAAAGATATTCAATTATAGGCAGAACATTTGACAGCTTTACAATACTTTGTCCTAAAGTATTTAACTTTACAATGGATGGGAAAAAATCAGATTTGTTGTGTGGTGGGGGGGGGGGGGACATGGTCCAAACATTGAGAAAAAAGGAACTTCGTTTCTGATGATATTTTCTGAATAATGTCAAACTGCCACAGTTATAGCGCCAACTACTGCCGAGGAGGACTTAAAAATAAGATTTGTTTTTGCCATCGGAAAGTATTGGAAAGTATCAGTGGCAGCATCGACAGCCTCCAGGAGTACCTGAGACCTTAAAATAAGGCCGGTATACACACAATCCATTTCGGTTTGTGCATTTTGTGCAAAGACCATTTGAAATGATGTCATGTTTGTGAATCAAGGGATAGAAATCATTAAAAAAAAAAAAATCGGATTCATTGAAAAAATATTTGACTCATGGATTATTCAAATAATCGTCAGTTGCAGCCCTAGCAGTGCCTCAATATGGGGGTGGGATCACGGAGGGATTTTTAGAGCAGTAGAAAGTCAGGTTGAGCATTCAAAACCTGCTTGCGAACAGGTTTGAGTAATAGAGGCTATTACCATGGTGACTGACTCAGAATTTCTCTTACCCGCCTCTCTGCAGCAGATAACTCTGATTTTCTTGCGCGTACATGTTAACTTTCTTGGAGTTGTGTCGTCACCTACTTCCTGGAAAACCGGACTTGCCAGGAGAAGAACTCGTGTTGTTGTTGTTGTTGATGGACAGAACTTTTCCTAATATTTGGACCCGCAACTCACGTCACACATACTGTGCTAAAGGCTCTATTATTTAAGTAGCATTTTTTAAAATTGATTGTTAGTATTAATCATTTAATCATCAATTACATCAATTAATAAAGAATTAATTGTTACTAACACTGTTCTATTCTTTTCTGGCGTCGACCGTAAATGTAACAGTCGTAGTTGACATTTTACGATACATATTGTTACAGCTGCAGCTGTTGTGAAATGCACTACAAAAATAAAGTTGCATTGTATTGGTTTGAATGCAAATGTATTCATTATTATTGTTGTTATTATTTTTTTAATGATTTTTTTTAAGTTCATAAGCATTTTTACAAATATTTTAACCTTAAATTAAATTCTGTATGTCACAAACACCATTTAAAACTTTTATTTTATTTGTGTATTTTATTGTGCCGTATTCTCATCGTTGTGATTATTAGCATGTCAATGTGAGCGTGAATGGTTGTTTGCTTATTATGAGTACTCTGATCGGCTGGCAACCAGCTCAGGGTGAACCCCGCCTATTGTCCGAAGATACTGTAGCTGGGATGGGCTCCAGCACGCCCACGACCTTTGTGAGGATAAGTGGCTCAGGTAAGGGATGGAAGGATAAAGTGGATTGGAAAATGGATGGGTGGATAAATACATATGGACATTTTTAAAATCAGTTTTAAAATGTCTTTATATTTGGATGCAGAATATTTTGCATTGAAATATTAAGAGTTGTAAGCTTTTTTTTTTTTTTTACTTTTCCCCCTTTTTCAAACTTTTTTTTCATTAAAATTGTAAAAAAAAAAGAAAAAAAAAAGACTTGGAACATCCTTTGTACATTTTACAGAGGTTTTGGAGAGCCACAGTTTGACCCAGGAACTGATCAATTATGTTTCAAATCGTTCCTGTTTAAATATTAACCGTGCATAACTTCTTTTTCCCATTCATAAGGCAGCTCAAAATGTTATATTGTCTTAAAATATTGCCTGTAAAATATATAATGATTGAACAATGCAGACGGAATGATCCCGATTCGCTATTATGTTTCCAAAACTTCTGATTTAAAAAAAAATAAATAAACATTGGCCGGGGTTAGCTTCCTTTGTTGTTTGCTTATTATGAGTACTCTGATCGGCTGGCAACCAGCTCAGGGTGAACCCCGCCTATTGTCCGAAGATACTGTAGCTGGGATGGGCTCCAGCACGCCCACGACCTTTGTGAGGATAAGTGGCTCAGGTAAGGGATGGAAGGATAAAGTGGATTGGAAAATGGATGGGTGGATAAATACATATGGACATTTTTAAAATCAGTTTTAAAATGTCTTTATATTTGGATGCAGAATATTTTGCATTGAAATATTAAGAGTTGTAAGCTTTTTTTTTTTTTTTACTTTTCCCCCTTTTTCAAACTTTTTTTTCATTAAAATTGTAAAAAAAAAAGAAAAAAAAAAGACTTGGAACATCCTTTGTACATTTTACAGAGGTTTTGGAGAGCCACAGTTTGACCCAGGAACTGATCAATTATGTTTCAAATCGTTCCTGTTTAAATATTAACCGTGCATAACTTCTTTTTCCCATTCATAAGGCAGCTCAAAATGTTATATTGTCTTAAAATATTGCCTGTAAAATATATAATGATTGAACAATGCAGACGGAATGATCCCGATTCGCTATTATGTTTCCAAAACTTCTGATTTAAAAAAAAATAAATAAACATTGGCCGGGGTTAGCTTCCTTTTCCACTTGTATGACATTGAAAAATATGACATAAACATAACATAGGCTTGAAGGGTTTGCAATGGAGCAGTTTGACCCGGGGATGGATTATTTGTGTCCCCTGTAGTGACTTCAATTTCCACACCCCTTTATTTCCTGTGGGATTGTTAACTGTCTTACCTTTGTAAGGGTGAGATATCGATCGAACAGATTGACGGCTCGGACAAACGTTTGAGTGCTGTAGCCGAAGAAGCTGGTCAGACCCCACAGCTCCTCCACTCTGGCGTCTCTGCATTTGGCCGACACGGCACTCTGAATATTGAAGGTTATATTTGTATTTCGAAGGAGGTCAAACAACAAATAGAGCGAAAAATGGGTCAGTCAGTGGCTTACTTCAGAGGACTCCATCATCTTCAAACCAGACTTGCTGGGAAGGAAGTTGCCCTCCTGTGCACAGCAGGACTTCAGCTCTTTCACCAGGGTCTTGTCCAGTCCTCCATGGTCCCTCATCCTGGAAAAGAACATGCTTTTAGAGCACCGTGATTCATGCAAAAACACGCCAGTGTGTGTACGTGTATGTGTGTTTGGGGGGGCTGGAGCAGCTCTTCAGACCGCAAGCAGGCCACACCTGCTGGGTGTCATGTATCACTGGACAGCCACCTCCCCCAAACACCATGCAAATACTGTACGTTTTTTTTTAAACCACATAATAACACTTGGATTATTGGGGGAGGAGGCAGCGTGAACAAATCCAAAATTATAAAATATATCTCCATTATACACAAACTATCAAAGGTTGTCAAAGTACAAAAAAGGTTCAGTTATTTACCTCAGATAAGAAAGCACCCTGGCGTGTAAACTTTCGGGAACGCACGTGCATCGTTAAAACTTTAAGTACTGCAATAAAAACCTCGTAGACGTTCCTCGTGGCAGGGATCGCCCGGACGAGATAAACAACTGCTCCTCAGTTGGAAATTTACAATACCCATGATGCATCGCAGCGGATGATAATAAAATATTATTATCTGATGGGTTTCTTTCCTTTTTTTAAGAGTAACTTGAACATGAGCGTAGTTCTACTTTCTGGCACAAAATTGCGATGTTATAGTGATAATGATAATAATAATCATAATGTCTTTTAATGAAGTCACAAATAACCCACGTTGATACAGTTCACGTTGATACAGTTCACGTCGTTCCAGTTTCCACCACAAGACGGCAGTATACTTTGTGAATGCATTGAAACGAGTCGTCACTAAACCCCAAAAGAAGCTTATTGAAAAAGCGCCGGCTCGAGTTTTACTTAACCGTTTATTGATGTTATTGTCTTTCGATTAAAAATAACACACACACACAATATTATATTTAATTAACTAGATTTAGGAAGATCGTAAAAGGTGGGAACGATGACGACGCCATAAATGGAGTTTCCATAATGGAAAGCGCTTGATAATTGACAATTAATCAATCGTTTAACAGGATATAGGTCATGTTAATGGTTGCAATATTTATCTTGGTATTTTTTTAGATCACAGAAACCTGGCATTTGAACAGGGTGTTGCAGACTTTTTACATCCACTGCATTAGAGGCAGGGAAAAAATACTGTACTGTAAAAATGACTCCAGTCCTGTTAGAACGGAAGAGCTGATTACAACTGTTGGCCAGGAGGTGGAGATGTTGAATCATAAACTGAGCTCATCCAAAGACACCGTGCTTCGCATCTGCACCAAGCTGGAACTTCTGAGGTAAATATGAATGTGTATGACTTTTTTTTCACCCCTGCTAAAATGTAGTGTCATGTGTTTTTTTTAAGAATTTTTTTTTTTTGCGTTTTCCAGTGAGTTCCCTGTAAAGATTATCTCAACGAATACCTCTCTTCTATTGGAAAAAAACCAATGTACTTCTTCCGAAGTACAAAAAACGATTGTTCTTCTTATTTAAAGACATTTTGGATGATTGTAAGCTTCTGTTTTCTTTTAAAAAAAAAAACAGTTTGCTGTATGCTTCCTGGAGCCACGTGTCCCAATACATTTGTCCATCGATTGCAGAGTCTCCATCGACTAACACAGTTCCCAGTAATGATATTTCTCAGAAAATTGTGTTGTGCAAGTAAAGAATTTTATTCCCCTTACCGACCAGGCCCCATTTTTACGTGTGTTTGAAACTCTCTGCAGTTGTGATTTATGCATGTTTTTTTTTTTTTGCTGGCCCCTTTTCAAAGGAGCACAGTAATCTGCAGCCGCTCCACAGCTGCGCCCGCGATGAGCACTGTGGCGCCGTGCTGAGACTCCGGGGCCGGCTGAAGAGCATCCAGACGGAGCTGGACCGGGTCAGGGCCACCCTGAGGAAACTGGAAGGGGGCCGCAACGAGCGCCCTTCAGGCCCGAGTCCAACATCTGGAAGAAATGCCGGAGCAGGTGAATGAAGGATACCCAAAACCAATGACAGAAGAGTAAGACTGTCATTCAACATCACTCAACTGGAGAGAGTGCCAGGTGTTGGTTTGAAAGGAGGCTTAACAAACCCACGTATAATCTCTTCATTGGCTCGATTATTAGGAGCGGTCTTACGGAAACACGGAAAGCCAGCGGCAGGCACAGAAGTTGGCCTTCATCAGGGAGGAGAAGAGGCAGCTGGTCCGCGAACTGGACGCCGTCCACTCCGAAGACAAACATTTGAGACAAATGATCAGCGAGCTGGAGGTCATCCTTCACAAGGTGGCGCGCCTCCACGCACACTTTCATCATCAAACGGCTTCTTTTCGTAACGTTTACTTTGTGTTATAGATGACGGGGGGGCTTTGCCAACGGTCAGGAGTTCATCCAGCCGAAGGAGCAGGAGTTCTTCTGTCTCAAACACATCCTCGACTTGAAGGTGGAAATCCAATTCATGTACACTGCTCACAACATAAGGCACAGGTCGTTTGCTAAACAGCACCCTCTGGAATGTTTGACAAAGAATCGGCCGTTTGCACCAATTTTACTCATCCATCCATTTACTGTTTCGCTTTATCCTCACAAAGGTCGCGGGGGGTGCTGGGGCCTATCCCAGCCGTCTTTGGGTGGTAGGCGGGGGACACCCTGAACCGGTTGCCAGCCAATCGCAGAGCACATGGAGACGAACAACCATCCGTGCTTACACGCACACCTCGGGACAATTTCGAGTGTTCACTCAGGCTGCCATGCATGTTTTTGGAATGTGGGAGGAAACCGGAGTACCCGGAGAAAAGCCACACAGGCAGGAGGAGAACATGCAAACTCCACACAGGGAGGCCGCAGCCGGGATCGAACCCACGACCTCTGCACTGTGAGGCCAACGCGCTAACCACTCGCTCACCGGGCCGCCACCAATTTTACTCATTGACACCAAATTGGGTAGACGTCGAGGTTCATTATAGTGATGACAACTAACGAAATAAGAAAGTTGGAGAAAAAAAAATGTCACCCAAATAAAATGAAAATGCTTTTTGAAAAGCGAAATATTTTTGGCATTGCTTTACCGAAGCTGAAAGGTCAAACAGTTGTTTGAAAATTGTAGTCGCAAAACTTTGTGACTCCCCTCCCCCACCTTTTTTTATGCAAAAGAGATGATATGGGAAACTTTTTTTTGCCACGTTAATGACAATATAGGCAGCCGCTGTTGTAGGTGCGTGTAGGCGGAGATTTCGGCTGCACACACAACAGCTCGTTGTCGCTTGAAGATGTCGTCTTTTATGTGTCATTTGGAGCAGACGTTTACTTTTATTTATTTATTTTTTTGGCGGTAAAAAAAAAAAAAAAAAGAAAAAAAAATTGAGCAACGCCCATCTTAGGGAAAAATGCGCATCTTATCTTTGGTTGCCATCGATCATAACAGATCCCACGCAAAAGTTTCGAGGACAAAAACTGAACAGGCAATTGGCCATTTTGATTCAAAGCAGCCATTAAGGGTGAATTTCAGGTCTTATTCTCATCCTCTACTTTGACACTTATCATATCATGTTTGCTGTTGACTCCCTTAAATGTTCTAGTTGAATGAGTCTGAAATTTATAATCAGAATATAATTGGAATGATAAAGCTCCTTAAGTCAATCTACAGACAAGCCGAAAGTTCACCGGGAGAACAACCCCACCCTACTTCGATACACTGAGATGCTCTCTGCTTGTACGTATCACATCATAGTGAGGCCTCGCCCTCGTAGGGGTACTGCAAAATAAACACAATATATATAAACAAACCCTCTCCCATCTCTCTCCACTGGACATAGTGAGGAACGCCGTGTGCGTTTTTTTTTCCCCCTGTAGGAATTCCAAGGTGAAAATGGAACTCCGCCTGGACTGGACTCCCTGATCCCATCTGCTGCACTCGCTGATCCTCGTCGCTCCATGCGGGACGCCCGCAACGCCCGGATTGACGTAACGCTTGCCATCTCTCGCGTCTGCTGTTTATCTAGGCATGGCAAAATACACACCTGTCCGATGTAAAGAAATAATCGACCGTAATTGACGATCGCATTCCTTCATCTTCAGACAGGCTAACAAAGCTAGCGTCGATGTTTTGGTAAACATTTACACAAGTTGTAGTTGGAACAAATAGGTTAGTAACATATCCAACTGGGGAATACGATACTCACGGGAATATATTCTTTATCCTCTGCAAAAAAAAAAAAAAAGGACTCATTACTTACTGGTGTTCGTTCTTTTTTTCCATCTTCAAATCAACAGTATGTGGATTCTGAATAATTACTGTATATATTTTAAACAGTAAAATGCTGTAGAAGACTAATTTTAATATAAAAGCAAGTGTTATTTTTCGGGGGGGGGGGGGGGTGCTGAAACATATTAGTTCCATTAATTCCAATGGGGAAAGATGATTTCAGACGAGTTTTTTGAGAGTAAGTTGTAAATCTACCATTGTATAATCATCATAACAATTTGTCTTCCTGTTCTATCTATCGAATAATCAATTGTACGTGAAGTAACCTGAGCAATAAAACATTTTTCTCCAAGGAGCAGAGCCCCACCCGGGACCGGCTCTCACAGAACCTTGAAGGACCACACACTGACAACGCCGCCCTCAGGAGGAGGTCCGCACCACCCCGATCGCACAGACCGGCATTGTATCCCCCCCACCCCCCACCCTCCCTCCATACACTAGGAGGATTAGCTTTGTTCCCAGGCTACCCGGGTTAAAAAAAAAAAAAAAATGATGATGAGACAAAGTAGAAAGAGGAATTCATTGTATGAAAGTGGGTGGAGGAGAATGTCAGTGTGCGACTTAGCAGAATGCCAAAGTCAAACATGATACACAACTTCAAAATATTTCCCATGAGACAAACTGTTCCCGTCATAAAACCTGAACGAATTGTACAGGCAAGAGTTGAAAGCAGGCGTGGACAAAGTTGGGCTCGCGTGCTCACTTAGGAATCACTTTGCTCATTAAGTCTACCTACCACTTAGATTGTCAAGAGTGGCCTAATATTTGTTAAACTTTTTTTTCCTTCAAGTTTTGAAATAATTATTCACTTCCCAGATGCACACTTGTTGGTTTATCGACCAGTCTGACTCCAGCTCCTAATGTTACTCGGCCACGCCCCACAATGCACACATCCAACATGAATATTCCAGCCCGTACAGTTACTGCTTTTTATAAAACCAGTTCATTTCTTTGCATTTGCATTTCCATTTTTTTTTTTTTTTAACAAATTTGCCTTAACAGCAGTGAACAGTCCAAAGCAGGCCACAGGCGAACGAGATGCGGCAGGTACACGCTCATGACCTTTTGTCTATGCCGCGGCTAACCAAACCACAAACGTCATTGTATTATTTATTTTTTTTTTTTTTAATCCAAATAGTGAGACAACGACAAAGAGTGAGCGGTCGTCTTGGTTTTCTAACCTAACGCTGCCTTCCTAATAGCAAATCTCATCCAGGCAGTACACTACAACAAATCATTGCTATTTTATACTAAACCATTCACAGTATTTACAAGACACACCTTCTGAATCCCCCAGGTCACATTCGGTCATGTTCGATGACCGCGACGCGGCACACTTTCTACCCATGGCGGCGGGCATCGGGATGCAGGTCACCTGTGTACGCTCTTCTCACCTCTGACCCAGGACATCACTGACAGACACCACAGTAAGTGATCAAAGTGTATGCGATACAGTACACAGAAATGGGCGGAGGAAAGGGAGGAATATAAAATGAAAATGGGGTGGGGGCAGAATTAAATTTTTTTTCTTACCAATACATATAAATGCTGTAGTATATAAAAATAAAACACCTAAGAATATCATTATTGAAAAAAATTATCTCATTAAAAATAATAGTTGAAATTGTAGTATGACTCTTGCATCTGTTGCAGCCTGGTCATCCTTGTATGGGGGGTTCCCGCTCATTAAAAATAATGGTTGAAATTGTAGTATGACTCTTGCATCTGTCATCCTTGTATGGGGGTTCCCTATCTGCGGCCCCTTCTCAAGGTTTCTTGTTGTTTTTCCCAGATCGGGTTTTTGGAGTTATTTCTTCCCCTACTGGGGGTGACGATCAGGGGATGTCATTAATATTTGTCAACGGTGATCATTTGGCCCCTTCTCAAGGTTTCTTGTTGTTTTTCCCAGATTGGGTTTTTGGAGTTATTTCTTACTGGGGTGACGATCAGGGGATGTCATTAATATTGGTCAACGGTGATCATTTAAAGCCCTTTGAGACATTTCTGTGATGAAGGGCTGTCTACATTTGACGTGACTTTGATTATTTCTTATCAAAATACGAGCAATTAAACCGTTGATGAGAAGGCCGCGCACTATTCACAAGGCCGTCGCTCCCCCTGGCACACGGGCTGCCGGTAACCGCTGATAAGGCACAAAAGCAAAAGGAAAGCGCAAATGTTGAAACAGCGGGGAAAGAGCGTTATCGCCTTTGAGTGTGTGTGAGTGTGACTGTGCGTTAATCTGTGTGCTGTGCTGACACTTTAAGAAAACGCAGGAGGGAATGACACGAGCGCGACACGGTTTTGTATGAAGAGTTGCGAGAGACTTGAGCACGTCTGAACAGGAAGTGCGTGGCCGTTTCATGCTCGCGCAGGATGTTGCCGGCTTGTCGTTGTTTTGTCTGCTGTATAGAACGCTTTTATCTTCCGTGCTTGTCCACTTGGGATGTTTGTGGATGAATCGGGGATTCAAAACAAACATTCAGGTGTTTGTGTTGTGAATTTAAAACACCTGAAATAAATTGAAGTCTTGTATTTGCATATTTGTTTACAAATGTGTCCTAGCTATCACATTGCTTGACCTCACTTGGGACATGGGCGAGCTGGCGCCTATCCCGCCCTAACTTTGGTTTATGAACTACGAGACATCTTTCTCGACTCCGCGCTTTCACAACAGCTGTGTTGTTCTTGAATTACAAATTAATTCAATATCGTTTCCCGATTTGACAAAAGACAGATTACTAAATGAATTAAGATTTCTATTCACGTAAAGTGAATCCCCAATTATTCTCGGTTCGGCATTCGCGACTCCACATATTTGCTGATTTTGGGGGGAAACTGGCCACCATTTTGTATTTGTCTTTCAAAAGTTTTGGGTCACACCCAGTTTTTGCAGGTTTTCGCTATTTGCAGGCGGGCTCTGTCGTTACCCTTTCCCCCCCCCCCCCCAGAAGCTAATATGGAATATAAATTCTTCATATATGCATTTCATTTGTCTCAATGTTGTGTTTGAGGAGCGTGGTGGAATGGATGAATTAATTTGATATGAATGAAGTTAATCTGTAGTTGTAGTAATGTCATGTGCGATTGACAACGTTTGGCCGAATAAAGAGACTGAGCGGTCCTGTTAACGCTTACCTAAAAGTGCCGCGTGGAGAGAAACATTTGTGTTCTTTACGACTTAATTCACTTTATTAAATGTTCTCCCGTGTGTACTTTGCGGGCGAATTGCTGCAAATCCAGTAAGTAAGTGGCGGTAACAAGTCGAGTGCAACAGCTGCACTGGCTATAAATGGCCCGCAGTCGAGCATGTTTCGCAGACACGGATGAAGCGTGTATGTATATGTTGAATGGGACCCGTGTGATGTTCGTACAGCTGCCAATCACCGAAGACACTCGTGTTTGGGGATGCTTGCAAGATTCATTGACCAAATAAGTTCAAATGCATTAAATTAATTCAGTATGTAAAATATTATTTTTGAAAATACATACAAATATGTGAAGACATGAATTTCACAAAATACATCTGTATGTTTACCACCTCTAAACTACATACTGGTAAATTATGGCACTTTGACACTTGGGCGAAAGCCCTTCGTCGTTTGACTCCTCCCCTCAAATAACATTTACTTGCCTTTGCCAAACATTCTGCTGGATTGCTCTAAAATTCCCCAGCTTGACTAACTTTTTGGACCTCCAAACGTGGCTAAAGATTGTCAGGAAATTTATGTAACACTTGCGTGGCACTACTACACCAGTGTTTGATTTACCTTTGTGATCACACGGTGTCCCTTTTGGGCACCATTAATTAATGCTTCGGCGTGGAGGGTGCAAGGGCAAGGCGGGGTCCCTGGGGCACGGAGAACACCACTGGGACACCGAGGTTTCACTTTAACTGCGGATTACCCCTGTTGATGGAAACAAATTCACTTTGAATGATCTCCAGTGACACAGTGTGCCAAACGTGAACGTTATTCAGTGGGTCAGCGTGTTCAGCGTTTTGCATCATTTATCTGTTTCAAAGGACTCAAAAAAAAAGAAAAAAAAGTATCTTAAACTTGAAATGACGACCGCTGCATGAATTCTCCAGTTGTTTGTTTTATATTTATACATATTCCACTTTTTTTTCACCCAATTAAAAGTTTCTTTGACACGCCCCCGGCACACCTGTCAATTTGGTGGCTCATATTAGACATCGGTTGCCGAAAGCAGGTCTAAATTGTGACGCAGATGATATACTGTAATGCGATTTTTGCTGAATTTAGTCCTTTGTTTTCATCTTTGTCACTTCATATTGGACATGAGCTTTCGGGGTTAATTTTAAATCTATTTCGGTATTTGGGAATTGTAGTTTACTCTATGACACGATAGTTGGTGACCTTGTTTTTTTTCATCTTTCACTCAACAGACTTCTTACATTAAAAAAAAAAAACTAATACTAAAACTATAAAAACTAAGCTAAATTGAAGCATTTAAAAAAACAAAAACTAATACTAAAACTGTAAAAAATTAAGCTAAATTGAAGAATTTTAGACAAGACCTGCTTGCATGCTGTAAACCCATGAAAAAAAACGCTTGCTTAAAAATCTGCATGATAGTAACGAAGCGCAACAGTGTCTATCAAGCATAAGAATGTGTACGTAAAAGTGGCGTTCGGGACAGCTGTGGCCTTTTCAATCGCAGCACTTGGACTCACGTTGACGTGAGTGAAGACTATGAAGGCTTTGTTTATTATCCCGCAGACGAAGGCCTCGTGCTGTCACAGGACCGCTCGGAGGCAACAACGAGAGCCGCGTCAGCGTGATGCAGCGACAGCAGCTACGCGCAAAGGCCGCCTTGAATGGATGCGCTTATTCATTTAAGGCGCACGCCGCGCGGCTCCACCGGGAGGATTTCGGGGCGACGTGCGGTAGGTGCAACTCGTGTCGTTGTCCCAGCTTGAGGCCACACGGGCCGAAAGCTCGGTGGGAATGGGTGACGGCCAAGTGTCGGGGGTCAGACCCTTGTTGACCGCGTCTTGAAGCCGTGCGGTCATTAGAGCCTCCCTGATGCATCAGGGAGAACACAGATGGGCTCCAGATGCAAGTCTTGGCTGGCCACGGATATTGTACAACCTGCACGGATGTGAATGAGCACCAAAAGCAGCAGCAATAGTCAGCGATGTTGTTTGGCAACCGTACATGGGTACTAAATACTCTATGTGCATGTGTGAATGTCAGGTCTACATAAATAATAAATACGAAGGCCCGGGATGTTTGAATGTCCTTATTTTTGTCTTATTTGGTAATGTGGGGGGGAGGGGGGATCATTTTTTGCTGATTAAAAAAAAATATATCATCAGCTGTTAATCATACCATTAATCAGTCAGGCCCGAATAAATGCCAGCGGTACATATCCAGATGTGAATGTGCACAAAAGGCAGTAGGAATGATACAGTATGAGATGTGGCAACTGTACAGAGGAATGAAGTAAGTGTCAAAACAAATGCTGGCTCCACACCAAACCACTGAATGTGCTCTTCAATGGTCCCGTGCCACACCCTTAGACAAAGTTTCTTGGAAAAGCGCTGAGGTCATTGTGGTGTGATCCCGCTGACAAACAAAGCTTCTGAGAGGTGGTAACATGTTTGGAGATGATGTTTACAACAGAGCACTTGTGGTGTTTCGTTGAAGATCGCGAGTTTGATAAAGAGTTTTATTTTTAACGCTCTCCCTCCTCCTCTGCCTTGCTCTCTCTCACTTGAGTGTGAAGCCAGGAAAAAGACAGGAAACGTTGTTGACTTGAGGGACTTTTCTTTTTAGCGTGGCGTACAGTAGTACCGGTTCCTCTCTGGAAGGATTTCCTTCTCGCGTGTCCTGGACGGTGTATAAATATTGGAAGAGAACAGCCTGTAAGACGAGGCATTGTTCACAAATAACTCTCTAAATGGCTGCACGAGGATGGTGTGACTGGGCCGGGCTCAGCCCCCCCTTTTGACCAAACGGTTAAGATTACTGGAAGGAAATCAGCACACACACACACACACACACACACACATATGTATATATGTATATATGTATGTGTGTATATATATGTGTATATATATATATATATATATATATATATATATATACCGTATACACACATACAAAAAAATGTACATAAAACGCTGTTTTTTTTTTTACATAGAATTTAAGATCGCGTGCATGATGATGACTTTGGTTCCACTTATAAGGTTTATTTATCCCACGCGATCCCGTTGAAATAAATGAAGAAAAGACAAAGGCCATGAAAGACCATTAATTTCCCTCCACAGACGTTCGACTTCTTATGGACGGGAGGAGCACAATCGGGGGAAACTGGTGCCATACACAGGAAATGTTTTTGTTATGGTCACAAAAAAAAAAACAGGCTCTGGCAGCAGGCTCGCCCTCCACTCATTGGGGATTGACGGCCATTTGTAATCGCGTCCTTTAAGGATGTCGGAGGGGCAACTGGAAAACAAAACAATACGCCACTAAGGATGTCGAAAAAGCTCCTGTTGTGCAGGGCAGGTGTGACAGGTTTCCCTTTTTGAGATCACACGGGCAACATCCTGCAAGGTGGAGACAATTTCGTTCATTCAGTTGCACATTTGATCATATGTAAAACGACTTGACGACTTCAGGAATACAGCCAATCCTCGTTCGGAGTTAAGTCCAATGCATCCCTTCTGACAAATCATCGAGGAAAGAAATACTCGACAATTACTAAGTAAGCCACAAGTCACATTATGCATTCTTTGCAGAGGATAAAGAATCCTTGACTGTGGGTATTGTATGGCGTGGGCTGCTTCACCGCTTGGGCCATATTTTGGTAGATTAGTGCCTGTGCGCTTGGTGTAAAACGTCGTTTTTGTGCCAACGCAAGTCTAGACTACCATATTTGGGCCCATGTTGTGCATCTCTGGGTGTTCCGGTGCACGGAGTTGCCTCACCCTCGACGCGTCCCACAAATTAGTAACAGAAAGTCACTTGCTCTCACCGTAAAAACGGGTGTATCGTTATTTTTGTGGCTCACATCTAAAAAAAAAAAACCTCTTAATTAGGTCACCCTTAATATCAAGTAGTTTTAAAAATCTGCAATAATAGCGGGGCACCATGGTGTATATATTTCTCATATCTTCGCTTTAACCATCACTTAATGAGGCCCCCTCCCCAATAAAAAAAAAAAAAAAAAAAAAGAAGCCAAAGAAAAAGCTAAACTCACACGCAGTTGGTTGATGCTTGCTCACATGAACTCACGGGAGAGCCTCGAATGGAGCGAAGCAAATTGGCAGGCGGTTGGCTTTGTAATGGTGCACAATGCTCTGCTGTTGTGTAACTCCGTGCAAAACCTGCGGTCGCGCTCAGGTCACCACGGACAGTCTTTAATACAAAAGGGGTGGGGGGGCAAACTCCAGGTTCTAGCTTTATTTTCTCTGCCATTGTGACACGGCGCTTTTTTAACATCTTAAATGAACACGTTAAAACAATGAGCCGCCAGATCCGCTTACAAAACCTGGGGGGGAGGTTGAATGCTGGGAAATGAACCACACCTACAGAGGACAAAACAATCCTATGGCGGTCCCATCACTTGAACAGCCTTTGAGAAAATAAACTGCACGGGCTTGACCTTGAAACTCAGACATACATCCTTTTTATCCCAAAGATGCTTGCTGGACGGGAGTGGGTCCCAAAGCGTATGGGCGTGTGTTTGTGTGC